CGTCTTCTCCAACTTCAATCTCTCCTGGTGTTTTGGAGTGAGAATTGCAATCCAAAACATGGGAGAGCATCAGTTTGGGGGTGGCTGCTTTATCCACTGGACAACACAGTCTCTCTCCATACCACTGTTCACTGTGGTCAGTAAGATCCCTATTCCAGCCTCTCTGGAGCTCAGTTCATTTTATAAATCCAGTTCTAATTAGTGCTTCAGGCAGACCTGTCTAAATAATTCCGTGCAGCATATTTAAATATAGCTGTGTTACCTGCTTAGCTGGGGAAAAAAATCAGGAGAGAGATCTGCTCAGCTGGATTTCCCCCCTTCCAGGTCTCTTTGAAGCTTCAGTCACTTATAGGATCTGAAGCTGTTCAGCTGCCTGAAGATTCTATCTTGCAGCCGAAGTGAACTTCAAAAAGCTGTAAGAGGGTCTTGAAATGTGTATCTGTGTCAGGTAGACGTTTCCTGTCTTCTTTCAGGATGCAAAAGTAGCAGCTTAGTTTGACAGTTTCTCTGGAGTGGCTATGTATCCAGCTTTATGGGGGACAGTCCTCTGTTTGAAGGACCCTCAAAAGGGAGAGAAAATGGGTCTTTAAGTTCCCTATCAACGTGTCTGACAGGTTATAGCGAGTAACTGGAAAAATGGAGAAGAGCTAGGGGTGAACCAATGGAGGGAAAAATTGAAAAATATTATAATCTTAGACTATCTGTGAAGATACATAAAATGGAAGGGTTTAAGGTCAGTGAGGAGGAGGATTAGTTTGAGAAATATTGAATTATTTGGGCAGGTTTGAACAATTTGGGGCAATTAAAATGTTAAAAGTTAGGGGGGTCACTAGGGGGCGCATTGGAAGATGGCCGACAATACCATCTCTCCGACCCACACGGGGTAATTAAGAGGCTGTTATGGGAGTAGGCAGCCTCCCTTGTTGCCCCAAGGAAATGGGGAACACTGCCCTTGCCTGCTGTGCCCATAAATCCCCCCCTAATTCGAAAGAAGGGGGTGAGGGCTCTAGGCAGAATGCCCCGTGTGGACATCGGCTCTCCTGGACGCTGTCTCTGATCGCGCACTAGTTGCAGCAATTTGGAATAATTAATTACAAAAGAAGCAAATGCACATATTTCAAGTGAAGAAGGGGAGTGAAGTCTGCTAATTTAAGTGACCTCTGCGAAAGAAGACGACGGGCTGGAGAAACAGGAATATTTTTTGATCAAGATACACCAAAGGCAGGGTATGTTGACAACGGGGCTGAATGGGGGGGACGGACCTTTTTTACTTTCCTTCTATGTGATTTACAAGAACCCCTCCTCTTTAGAACCGTCGGTTGAACTGACCCAAACAGGATGATTAAGGTCTGTGTGGAGATAAACTTTAACCAAAAGTATGCTTTATGGAGACCTAGAAGCAATAAGAGCTTTTGGGAATGGCGCAGCAATTAATTCAGAGTCGCCATCTTGCCAAAGGATATACAGCCGGGAGGAAGACCGGATTTGTTTTCAGACTGCATTCCTAGTGAATCTCCTCAGAGGTTTTGAGAAAGGAGGCAGATTGGTGAAGATTAATGACGCTAAGACTGTTTTGATGTATGGAAGTGATGTTATATGGAAAACGTCTGGATATGACTACTGGATTAAAAAAATAATATCCACACAGGATTACAAACTGTTCTAACCAGCTTGCGGAGACTATCAGAGGTCACAAAGAGAAAGGAAAAATATATGAAAATAACAACAAGAGATGTGGAAAAATAATAAGAAAGGACTGGATAGTACTGTGAACATCATAAGGTTAGATTTGTGGACATTAAAACAGCAGTAAGAAGCAAGAAGTTGATTGGATCCCTTCGGAACTTGAAATATGGGTACCCCCAACAAAAATTTAAAATTTGGCTGTGTAATTTGGAATTTATGTAATTTGGTTTGATTTGATGTGATTGTTCGGTTAATAAAAAATTATTCTTAAAAAAAAAGAAAAAAAATGTTAAAAGTTAAATAAATCTTGTGGAGGTACGAGTGTTAAGGTATATAGAATTGTACATATAGTTGATTTGAATATGCTATCATTGATTATGTATACCCAATGTATCAGCCGCCTGGGGGGTTTCACTGTTTGTGTTTTGGGTGTTGGTAAAAAAAAATGTAGAAAGTTCCACGTCAACAGTGAGCATATGGAGAGCAGATTGAGCAGGTACACAGCTCACCTGGCCACAGCTTTTCTTGCTATGGCAGGCATGTCCAAAGTCCGTTTTGGGGGCCTAATCCAGCCCCTGTGGCAGTTTATTTCCTGGGGTAAAATCCCCAAAAAGCTCAACAACTTCAATTCTAAAAAAAGGTCAGCAACTTTGGTTGGCCCTCACGCACATGTTCACTTCATCAAATCTGGCCCTTTGAAAAAAGTTTGGGCACCCCTGTGCTATGGTAAGCATTGTAGTGCTATTTTAACACCCCCCCTCCCAATAATCGGCATCTATTAATAGGCACATGCACATTTCATGCAGATCTTTTTTTTTCTCTTTTGGCAAAAGATAGAAATATATGCTGAATCCTGCCACTGTTCTACAGTCCCAGAACAGTGAAATTTTCATTTGAGGCATTTTTAATTGTCCTTTTTCTTGATTTTGATGAAACTTTGTATGGCTGAGCTAGTCAATTTCCCCAAAACTGGAAGAAGCAACAAGGGGAGGAAGTGATCAACGAAGTACAGTGGTATCTCAGTTTACAGATGCTTCAGGTTACAGACTCCGCTAACCCAGAAATAGTACCTCGGGTTAAGAACTTTGCTTCAGGATGAGAACAGAAATTGTGCTCCGGTGGCGCGGCGGCAGCAGGAGGCCCCATTAGCTAAAGTGGTGCTTCAGGTTAAGAACAGTTTCAGGTTAAGAACGGACCTCCAGAATGAATTAAGTTCTTAACCCGAGGTACCACTGTACTGGGAACCTTGGGAGGAAGCGATCATGTCATGCGTTTTCATTATACACAGGCGAGGGAAAGCAGAGTATAGTCAAACATGCACTCACGACTTTTAGGCTGCTTTCAAAAAGCTTAAGAAACTACTGGGCAAGATTCCATGGTAAATGCTCAGGAGAAGGGAGTTAGTTTCTTAAAGGTGAAATAAGGGTAAAGGGACCCCTGACCGTTAAGTCCAGTCGTGGCCGACTCTGGGGTTGTGGTGCTCATCTCGCTTTATTGGCTGGAGCGGTACCTATTTATCTACTTGCACTTTGACGTGCTTTCGAACTGCTAGGTTGGCAGGAGCAGGGACCGAGCAACAGGAGCTCACCCCGTCGCAGGGATTCGAACCGCTGTCATGGGGATTCGAACCGCCAACCTTCTGATCAGCAAGCCCTAGGCTCTGTGGTTTAACCCACAGCGCCACCCGCATCCCTAAAGGTGAAATACTGAAGACACAAATGCAGGGAATTCCTTAAAGAAAAGTGAGAGGCATCTAAAAGAAACTGGTGTGGTTCCACAAGCAGCTTACAAATGAGCAGAGATTTAAAGGCATTATAAGAAATGGAAGAATTGAGAGATCACGAAGGGTATACACGAGTAGCCAAGTTTCAGAGAGGTCAGACGGGTCAACACTCAGAATGAGCTCAGGCTTGCAAGAGGCTAAAAATAATTTTTAAGTTTGTTTCTAAACATCAGGAAGAACTTTCTGATGGCAAGAGCTCATACTCCCTTAAGAGATGGTGGACTCTCCTTCCTTGGGAGATTTTTAAGCAGGTTGGCTGGCCATCTGTCATGGATGCTTTAGTTGAGATTCCTGCATTGCAGGTTGGGCTCGATGATCCTCAGGTACCTTCCAACTGGACAATTCTACGATTACTCTTTGGCCAATTTGTTAAATGAAGTGTTTCCTCAAAACTTTTGAGCAAATATATAATTGCAAGAACATTTAGTAAAGGAGTTGCTGGATCTCCAAATGTTTTTTAACAGTGCAATGCTAAATAAATCTATTGGCATTAGTTTAAGCTTTAATAAGACATATTCTGATGTATGTGAACCTGATACTTGTAGTACATAAAATGTGTTCCTTAGTGGACATATTGTAGTGACCTATTTGGGTTTAAAATAGCACCTGTACAACAATAAAGGGAACAGGAGGAAGACAAACTTCTTTCTGACTGAATACTATCATCCATCCCACTACAAATGGAGACAACCAAAACTTCAAGGTAAAGTGTTGTTTTATGGACATGTGCAGACTTGTTTAAAGAACAAGGAATTTCCCCAGAAGCCAGTTTTAATCCTGCATGTTTGGAAGAGGTCTGGCACTCGTTTGCACTCCCCGAGAGGGCAAAATACTATCCTTAGGAGTGCAGCAGCTGCAAAGTAGTTTATGCTTTCCATTCGTATTTTTCAAGAAACTCGTGTTCTTCTCATTTAAAAAAGCACCCTTGATTTGTGTTGCTAACATAGAATGAGTCCTTATTCAGTTAACATTGAAATGTTTTGGGGAAAATAATTTCAAAAAGGGGCCTATTCCCATTCTTAAAGAAAAAGGGAACAGTAGCAGGCCTGATTGTTCTCCACAGCAGGTTTGGCAGCAAATGTAAGTAAAGAGTTGTACAGGTAGACCAAACCTCATTCAATGATACAAGAAGCAAGATCACGCCCACCCCACTGAGTCCCATTCTAGATGTGCTTCTTTGCCACATTAACCCAATGTTGTCCGTGAAGAACTACCAGGAATGTGTCATAACTGAAGATTCCAAAACCAAATCCTTTATTTTTCACAACTGTATAAATGTGCTCCAAGTATTTATGTCCAAGACAAAGTTTAAAAGAAACATGCTGTACAGCAAACTTTGATCAGTTTGCTGGTGTATTAACTCCTCTCATCTGTTAAACTTAGTTACAATACCAGTCATGGTAAGATACATTTTGAGTTCAAGAAGTGTAGCACGATGTTTAGCTATTACAGCTTGTGCACACATGTTGCACTTCCGGTAAGAGATGCAGAGAGATATGCACTGTAACACTGGAAACTAGATTGATTCACTTTAAATAGCATCAATATCAATGTCCTCTTCCTTGTTGTTTGCAGGCTTCACAGTTTCAACCTTAGGTACACTGGCCGTCTTGGAGTACACCACCTGCACAAAGAGGTAGGTTTCATTAGTGCAATGAAGTCAACAAGCTTGAGGTATTCTAAATGCAGATGGCTACTACAGTAAATATACCTGCATGGGAGTACAAAATCCTGTTTCAAATCAAAGACTTAGTTGCCATTAGGTTATTGCTACGGATATTTTTAAAGATAGATTTAACCAACTTTTCAAAGCTGAGTTTAACACATACTTCAATATTTTCATCTTCATCCTCTTCCTCCTCATTGCCAGATGACTCCTCTTCAGCTTCTTTCAGCCATTTAATGAAGGGTTCTGCTTTGACACGAATTTCTTTGGCAAGCTCTTTAGAGACATATTTCTTCGAGGCCTACAAGAGAAGACTGATGTCAATTCTATGCACTGCATTGTTTCCTTACCTCAACATTTAATGAACAACTTGGGACGTAATGTATTTAAGTTCATATGGGATCCAAAGTAGGAGCTTCACCATTTCTTTAAAAAAACAGGGGGAAGAATACAAAAAATGTGCTAGGGGGCCAAACAGATGAAAGGAGAATATCTATGAATACAGTAGGCCTCATGTTGCTGAGGTTTGCTTCTCCCCATATTATGGAGGGCAGTTGGGCTGGAAATGTGACATAGAGGAGCGGGTCAGCCAGTGCATACAATTCTACATGCATGAGAAATTAATGTTTGAATTATTACCCCCAAACTTTGCAAGGGACGATCCTATGTACCAATGTACAAGTTTTCTCATCCCCCTTCCCAGGCTACCATCTTCCCTCCCTCTGTACTCTTGGATATCTATTGAAGAGCAAAATCCTGCTGCATAATCACACAATTCATAAAGGCCATCACTGCCATTCAAACAGGTGTATATTTACAAGTTTGATTATTTGTGAGATTTATCTTGCTATATAATACAGACCTTTTCCGCCCAGCTCAGAATGACCTCCTCTTCCAGAAGATCCGCATCATACATTTCCTTCAGGATATGCGGAATTTTAGAAATCAGCTGAGACTGATGCATGGCTACCACACACTCCAGGCCATGAAGAAGGTATCTTTGAGCCTTCTTGTTGTTGTGGCAGAACTGTGAAATGAATTGGGATGGATTAGGGAACAGAAATCCATTTGCATACAGGAGCCTTATTAGCCACTTTCCAGACTGCAATACGCAACTCGGGGTTTACCCAAACCAATCAGCAAGCTGTAGCAAGAGAACACTTGAATTTTACTTTGGGGCTGGAGGATGCTTTGCCTTCTCCGCATCCAGTGATGAAAATCAGTGGGCTGCCTGCAGAGGCATGGAATACTCCATCCAATTTGAACCACCCACAGTATTTCCATACCAGACACACAGGCCATTGCCCAATCACCCAGCATAGAAACCACGAGACGGCTAACGAGGGAAGGTATGTGTAACTAACTTTTTGGAGTTTTGCAAATAAATCAATTGTTGAAACAGAATACAACTTGCAGCTTGATGGTATGTCACTCTAATTTTGAGTTCTAAATGCTGTCGTTTCACCATGTTTTAGGCGTATGATAAATCACTGGTAGAACTTACACGCAAGAAATGTCGCCTGTACTTCTTTATCTGCTCTCTGATCTTTTCATCAAATAGGACTTCAGTCAATACCAGGGGTCCCATAGCTTTGACATCCAGTCTTTCTGCTTCAGCCACTATATCTTTATCAGATGTTTCTATGACACCTTCTTCCTTCTTTTTCTGAAAATATAAAAAACATGCTACTATACTTGCAACCATGCCGGCTATACCTGAATTCCTTAATAGTTAGTTCACTTAATGAATGAGCCAGCTACTCTAGTTAAAAGGTTATGTCATTTCAGCACAACAGGAGCACACTAATATCCTTTTTTACCTTAACAAAGTCAAATAGTATATTAACTCTTTCTTCAATAGTCCTTTCTAGGTCATCAGTCAGGGTGAGAACTTTTGCATGATCACTGATTTCATCCATTCTGCGCCTCTGGGCTTCTTCGGTTGTGTCTTCACCCCAGTCATCATCATCATCATCCTGAAAAGTAAAAGTGGTTAATGCAACAAGTGAGAACATAAATGTAACACAAAGAACCACTTTGACACACTTACACACACCTCTCATATATAGGTAAGCAATGACCTGGAATATGTTCTGATCAAGACATTTCTCTCTCATTCAATTTGACCATGTGTACTTACCACATGTGGAGGACTAAGCTCTTCTGGTGCTGCTGACTGTGGGGATGGTGTCTCAGTATTAGACACAGAACCATTCTCTTTATCCTTGCCTTTTCTATTCTTCTTTTCTTTCTCTTTCTTGCCTGTACCAGTCTCACTGCTCTCTGCAAACATTAACAAGTCTTCATTCAATAGCTGCTTTCAAACAGTTTCATCTGACGTTTCAGTTTCAGTCACAGCTGTCCCAACACCTCTAAATATAGCTTATGAAATTTTACTTCACTGTTTTCAGGTGAGCATAATCTTAGTTTCATCTGAACCAGGGGCTGACCAGACTGCTTAATATGTCTTTTGGGGCAATAGCTTTTTCTCAAGCCAACACTGTGAGGTTGCCTTTTAGAAAAGACACATGGAAAACACCTGACTCTGAGTCAGACACCAAAAGAAATACCAAAACCAATCACCTCTAAGTGAACATTCAGAGTGCTACTAATTCTGTGTGTTACAGAACTAAACTTTTCTAGATCCAGAATAACCCGAAGTGTTGACAGTGGTTGACCAGCTACTTGCAGTTACAGAAAAAGTACTCTGTGTGACAATATAAAAAACTAGAAGGCAGTGCTCTCATCTCATGTAGACCAGGATGTACAGAATTTGCTCATGGAGAATAACAGCAATGGCTAGGATGTCAAGAGTCTATATAACAGATGGCCTCACCTACAGAGGCCACTGGAATAGGTCAGACTATGCTTACTATAGCAAGCTTAAATTGAAGCAGACAACTAGTTATCTGCCACAGAGTGTTGCTTGCATAAAATAGTTTCAAAGAATGGTAGCCTGCCAGCCTATTTTATGATCTGTCCTTTGGTGCACCAAAACCAGAGGAATTCATTCACTTACCAGGTGGGTTTTTGAGGATGAATGTGCAGAGTTTATGGTTTGTGTCAAGCATGCCTCGATAGCCACAGGCTTTGCAAGAGTTACCAATGGTTTGTTTCTTAGGATTGACATGCTGTCAAAAAAAAGTAGTAGTTTTAATGCCTGCCATTTTCCCAATTACCTTGGCACTAAATGCAAAGTAAGAATTTTTCATTGCTACTCTAAAAGTCTGGAGGGGAAGGAAAACTCAACGTTCAAAGGTCTTATTACCTTGCAAAAGAGCCCCTTCTCCCTCGTGTGGTAACCCCAAGCAAGGTCTTGAGGTTCAGGAAACAGGAAGTTTCCGAGACCTTGAAATGGTGACACACCAGAAGAAGCTCCTTTGCACAGTAGTCAATGGAGAGATACAGTTTTGGGAGTGCTGGTACTCACTCCCCTGCCCCCCAAGAAGGAGGCATCTCAGCAGAACTTCAAGTTGGGGAAGGCAATACAGTTTTAGGTTCAGTTCAAGGTGCTGCATTTCACTTTTCAAGCACCCAATGTTCCAGGTCAAGACATGAATGAGGCATGCAAACACGCCCCCGAAACCCCTACTCCAATTGGACTGGCCCCTTGTACAGCAAGCTAAAACCAATTGTTCTATGCAAAGGAATTCAGTTAACTTATAATTTGCTAGGTTTGTGTGATTTCTATTCTTAAGGAGGAGAAATCTGACAAAATTTAACTAGCATACTCAAAATTCAGAACTGACAGTACAATCCTAATACATGTCTATTCAAAAGGCCCAGTGAGTTCAGCAAGACTTCTATATATGTAACTATAGGATTGCAATGTCATGTATTCAATGACTTCACATTACTGTGTCCCCTGGTACAAATGCTGAAGCATAAGCTATGCAAGGAAAGGAAATCTCCAGTGAAAGCTCAGCTGTATATTTACTTCATTTCTTATTTTTAATTAAATAACTTATTGGCACTGCAGATAGGATTTACAGGCAGCCTCCTATCCTGGCACTGACTAGACAAATGTGTGGCATTCCAGCATTAGCAACTTTCAGACAATGCATTGCAAACTATATTGTCAGTCTTTAAAAGACACCTGTGAACATTCTAAAAGTAGTACCTACCAGATCAGTTTCGGGATTCTCACACTCAGGACAGAGAACAAATTTTTTAATGAACCCATCCAACATGTCTTGTAGCTTATTCGCCTCATGAGATCCATTGACAATGTAACGGTCATTCTTAACATCAAACTGGGTCTGCGCTCCCAGCTCACAACCAAAAAATTTGGTGGGATCTAATAAAAGAAAAAAAGTTATTATGGCTCTGCAATGGCTTTTCTTCCACCCCAATCTATGTTTAAAACATTAGCAGGCTCTTGCTACATTAATAACAGTAAGAAAAGAAGTTGGAACTCTTTTTTAACCACAGCATGTTTCACTATCAATCTGAAGACCAGTGTCAAAATTCCCTCCCCACAACAGCATCATTTAGGAGCGCTGCTTATAACCAGCTCAGTACTGCTACTGTATTTGTTAAATATAAGGCAACACGAAACTAAACATTGTGTCATCTTAAAAGTACTGTTCATCATGTCAAGGTACATTGTTTCCTTACAGTTGCCTTCTCGCCTTAGGGGCTTCTACTGACTTCATGAGACAAAAAGACAAAGGTTATGTATGTTGGCTGATGCATGGCAATTACTAGTACACTTGGAATGTACAAATTTGACACAGGAGCAATCTGAGCAAGGCCTGATTTTTCTGTGCAAGTCAAATTTGTGCAGTGTTAGAACAAAGGACATATCCAAGTTTTTAGTGTCTTGTACAAGAAGAAGGGATGGCAGAGTAAAATGTCTATGCACCAACTTACACGTAGGAGGCCGATTAAGCGCCTTTGCAACGTCAACCATGTTGACTATAACTGTCTTTATCCCATTTCCTTTGCCCTCAACCTAGGAAGAGAAGATTTGTTAAACATACTTATTCAACCCAGTTCAATTCAAGCAATAATTCTTTTGTTTCAGGAGTTTTAAATAAGGTAAAATTCAAGCTAGGCCTTAAGGAATTTAAATATTGCAGCAACTACCTTGGCAATCAGACGGGGCATTTTGTAGCGATAGAACTGATCTGAAACACTGCGGTTGACATTGACAGACATTTTGGCTTATTAGTAGCTTTATCAATAAGATGGAGAGATCTTTGATTGCAACTTTTTGGTATCTTCTGTCTGGAGAAGACGTGATGACATAAACGACTGCAAGAGTTCTCGGTCTCTGACATGAAAAATTTTTCGCCACCGAGGCTGTGAGGTTCTTGCTTGTATGCTATATTTCCCCAATACAGGTACCAATGGCTGCGCAACAGCTCTGCAAATTAAAAAAAGCAAGATTTAGTTTCTGTAGCACTTTGGATAACATTCATGCAAGACTCAGTCAATGCCAATAGATAGTGCTTGGAAACCATTTTAGGGGCTAGGTCAACTTTAGCAAAATGTCATTTGTTAACTTTTTCCATTTGCCACCCAAGACATAATTAAAAGTATGTGTGAGCAAAGGCTACATTGTTGTTGTTTTTTCTTAAAACACAGCATTGACAAGTCTAAATAGTCCACTGAACCTTTTGTATCTTTAAACGATCATATGCGAAGAACAACTTTTTATAATATTAAGCACTATCTAAGTTATATCTATATAAATCCTCTATTTGGTTGTTAAGCTGCTTGACAAAAATGGGCAGATAGAATATTAAAACTAAACTGTAAAAGTAACACGAATGAATTATGCCTGCTTGTGCCAAGAACAGTGAACTTGGTACAATTATAAGCTTTTTATGTTGCACGTTGACTCTTACGTTTACTTTGCAACAGTAACAACTTGTCACATTCCATTGCATAGTCACTCTGCACCTATTTAGCAGGTGGATATTTTCATTAAACCTTTACCAGTTAATGTTAACGTTGAACCTGCACTTGCTCTCAGTGGGAGTTCATATGAAAGGCACCTCCTACATATTTTAAGTCTCTTGTATCCTCAAGGGTATACTGTGCTAGTAAGCGAATGTTGGAGTGGGGCCATACCTACTTAATCAGCACCACTAAAATTTATCTGAACCACCTCATTACACAAGTCCCCTGCCATAAAGAACAATTGCCTGTGCTTATTTAAGCGAATCAAAGCTGTTTACGCCAAAACAACCAGTAACACAGCAGATACGGTTTCAAGCATGGAACTTTGCTCTCCCACCCTTTCCACCACATGACCTAAACACGTGCCTGCAGCAGCATGAAAAGACCCCCCCCCAAAAAATATCCGAAGTAAAAAAAAAAGAAACAAAAATACGGGGGGGGGGGCGGACAAAACCCTTATACTAAGTACTTTGGAACCTGGAGGAAATAGAAAACGTGATGCTTTTACCTGCTGGGGAGAAAAGCCATTCACACGCCACGAGGCCTTCGCGTATAAAGAGCACTTCCGCTCCCTCCCTCCCTTTGGTTTAATAAAAAAGCAAAAAACAAAAGCCCAAAAACCCCCACCTCCCCTTCACCCAGGCGTCGGAATGACTCAGAAATGCAGCAATTAAGCACTGAGTCAGCCTTAAATACGAGGGGCGGCAGCGTGCCGCGCAGGCGCTTCTCCTCCTTCCCCCTCCCTCCGATCTCCTCTCCCCCGCCCCGCGTCGCTCTCTGAACCCGGGAAAAAGAGAGGCATCGGGAGAGAAACAGACAGACCGACAGACAGAGAGAAAGGAGCCCTCGCCCTCCTCCACCCTCCCGGCGCTGCGGGTTTAGGAACTGCGCCACAGAGCGCGCACTCTCCCCAACCACCGCGTCTCCCTCGCCGCCCCTCCCTCCGCCCAGCATCACGAGGGAGGGAGGCGCGGAAGACCTGGCAGCCGCCATCTTGTGGAGCAACCCGCGACCGTGGGGGGGGGGGGGAGAGAAGAGAAGAACCCTGGATAAAAAGCGCAGCGGCGACCCCCGTCTTTATTATACACTCCTTCGCCTCATCTTACTGCCCCACTATCCTACCGCGGAATGAGGGACGGGGGCCGCGACGTCGCTCTCAGACGCCCCCCCCCCACGAGAGAACGAGATGAGGGGCTTATTGTTATCATAGCGACGCATTTAAGTGGCAAACCTTACGAAAAGGGGCCCCAGAGGCCTCTGCCCCATGGCCGCCGCCCTCGCTGTCCCCCACCCCCCAGCCAGCTCCTTTCCCCACCTCCGTTTCTTTCCCTCTTTGAGGCCCCGCTTCGCCTTTCCACAAAACCACCCCCGACCCGGATTTCCCACCCCCGACCAACCGCCGCGTCCCCTCAGGAGAGGGAGCCCCTTCAAGCCCCTGTTCAAACGGCCGCCGCCGCCTCCCTCGCGACTCACCGTTTTCGTCCAATACAGACATAAACCCAACGCTGCTCGCCCGGGGCTGTGACGAAGGCCGAATCGGTGTTGAGGAGAAACGATGAGCGACGTCGGGGGGTTGAGGGGGGGAAGAGAGAGGTGTAGCCACCGAGCACCCGGACGCTGGAAGGGGGCGGTGTGGCGTTTCTTCTTCTTCGTCTTCCTCTCCTCTCCTCCTCCTGCTCCCCTTCCTCCTGCAGTCCTTTCAAATTAGACGTATATTACTTAAATATATAGATATATAGATATCCGCTCTCTTCTGTGTCCGGTGGTCGAGGGCGGAGGAGGCCGGCGCCGCAACCGCCAGGAAGAGGGGAGGGGGGGTCCGAGCGTCCTGAGGCGGGCGGGATCAGCGGGAGCGGCCGTGCCGGTTGCTCTGCCGGGAGGGAAATACAGTCAGCTGAGGCAGCATTGTTAGATGGGGTTGGCGGCGGGGGCGCGCGCGCGAGTGGCGCGCGAAGCCGCGGAGGGGGGCGGAGGAACGGCGCGCGCGCACCTCAAGGCTCGGCAAAACCAACCGAGGCGCTTTTTTCTTTCTTTTTTTTTTTTAAACTGGGAGCTCGCGCGCGATCGTAGGGCGGTGGGGGGGGGGAGGAGGGGTAGGGGCAGGCCATAATGGCCGCCGAGCACTTACCTCTAGAATGTTCTCGCTCCGACTGAACAACGCCGTCGCCAAGGCTGAGATCAATCAGCCGCCGGCGAGGACGCGCCCACCCCGCCGCGGTATTGGCTGCGCGCTTTGACTTCGGCCGGTCTCATTGGTTCCGGGCTCCTGTCTGTCATGGCGCTTGGTGACCTCCCCCTCCCCACGTCTCTTCCCTCTCTCGCAACATTCCCCCCTCCCCCCCCACGCGCCACCTCCCCGGCCGGCCGCTACGATCGAAGAACTACCAGCGCCCGAAAGGACATCGCGTTTACAAGACGGGGCCAGAGTCTCGCGAGAGTTCAAGCTGAGGGGGAAGAATGAGTCAGTGCCTGGCACATGGGGGAGGGGAGGGAGTGCGGTTCTTGGTCGCCTCGCTTCGTAACGTGAAGACGCGATAAGAGGGTCTGGAGTTATGTTAAGGAGCAAGAACGTAAAATGTACCTCTCTAAATCCTTTTAAAGGTCGTGCCGATTCTGTTCTCTTGAATTTTGATATGAAAAGTAACTGCATGAAACTAAAGAGATGGTCAAAACTTGAGATGAGAGGATCATCGAATCAGTTGGAAGAGAGCCCCGGGGTCATCTAGTCCAACCCCCTGCAATGCAGGAATCTCAACTAAAGCATCTATGATGGCCATCCAACCTCTGCTTAAAAACCTCCAAGGAAGGAGAGTCCACCACCTCCCAAGGGAGATCATTCCACGGCTGAACAGCTCTTGCCGTCATAAAGTTATTCCTGAAGTAATAATAATAATAATAATAATAATAATAATAATAATTTATTATTTATACCCCGCTGATCTGGCTGGGTTTCCCCAGCCACTCTGGGCGGCTTCCAACAAAACACTAAAATACAATAACCTATTAAACATTAAAAGCTTCCCTAAAGTTTAGTCGGAATCTCCTTTCTTGTAATTTGAAGCCATTGGTTCAAGTCCTACCCTCCAGGAGCAGGAGAAAACAAGCTTGCTCCATCTTCCATGTGACAGCCCTCCAGATATTTGAAGACGGCCATCATAAATACAACCAGAGCTTATGATAAAGGGCCTCACAGCATTTAACCCAGGTGGGAAGAAAAGCCCTTGCCCCCCAGCCTTCAGAAGAGGTCCGGGGACAGACTGTCCCCGGACCTGGTCTGAAGGCGGCTTCCTAGGAACGCATTAATTGATTTTCAATGCATTCCTATGGGAAACCGTGCATCGCAAGACGAAAAACTCGCAAGACGAAGAGACTTGCGGAACGAATTAATTTCGTCTTGCGATGCACCACTGTACATCAGTGAGCACTGCTCAGACTGAGCCTTCTGCTGAGGAAAGCCTGAGGACTGTGGTATATATATACACATGACAGGAACATAGACGCAGATCCTCCTATACAAACATTATACGAAAATTCAATTATCCAAACACAAGGAATTAGTACACAAACCTTGCTATACACACCACAGATTCAGATTTTCGAAGAGCTGGAACTGCCTGTAGTACTGTAAACAAATAAGCCGCCTTAAACAAGCCTTGCTTTTTGTATTTTGCTGGTCCTCAGCAGCCGTTTCACTGAAAACCATGGAGAAAGGGGGGAGAGATTAGACAAATTAGAGCATTTTTCCTTCCATGTTTGCCTTCTGCAAGGTTTCAGAAGGTTCCCCTGGTTTTTAACATCATTTTGGGGTAAAAATTCTGTGGTTGGGAGCGCATTAGAAATTTTCTCATAGGAATCGATGGAAATCATCAATCTATTATGCAAACACTTGCTTAACAAACTATTTTATGAGAACACATTATGCTTGGATAGGAGGACCTGCATCTGCTGTGTTTTCATGGCACATTTGCCAGTCCTCTTGGCTCGTGGGACCAAACTCGATCAGCTTCTTGCACATACCAACGTCTCAGGAGTTCTATTACACACCATGTTGGTACCTACTGAAGGTCTAGAGAGCTGCGAGTGGAAATGTACTATACATACAGGTGAAATGCACTGAGATGAGAAGGTTTTTTCAGCTGTAAATACCTTCAAGATGCACTAATGCAAGGGACTAATTTCTGTGTGGTTCCTGTGCCCTTTGCACAGGAATCGCACTTATAATCAGACCAAACTCATATCGCCTGGTTCTGCTTTAGACATACTATAAGGCCATACTCTCACCCATGTGCTGGGAATAGATTACGCCATGTTGTTCAAGGCCGCCCACTAATCAGCAAACTTTCCTAGCTGCAACTGCAGAGTACTCTGCTCTCCCGGAGAAGTGATCTCTGCTGCACCTTGCTCCCTTTCAAAGAAACCGAAACTGGAATGGCTAGAGGACGGGAGATTGCCGAGCAAACACCCCCGTAATCCTGTCTTTAGATTGCTGCAACTCCTCTTTGCCCCTTTTGCTGTATCTCCGCTCTTGAGATTAATCAGGGTGGCGTCAGATGTCACAGCAGATGTTATTGTGGAGGATGAAGTCATCAGTGGCAACTGCCTCCTGTATTAGAGGCCTCTGAATACCGGTTGCCCCTGCCCCTGGCCACTGCTGGCATTGACCTCTGGGAGGTTGGCTATGAGGGAATTCAGCTCTCGAACGATACAGGGTTCCCCATACATCTGCTCTAAATCATCTTTTGCTTGTCCTTCTCTGTTCACCATCCCATTGTTTTCTCCTTCAACTTTCTCATCAGTAACTTATTGAATCAGAGAGACCTTTGGCACGGTGTTCTTTGCTTGCTACTTCGCCTGCCAACGTGAAGCCCATAGTTACTTTCCTGGGTTCCCCATGGCCTTGAGCCCTTCCTGCTTATAAAATGGCGACTGATAATGCGATGAGAAGTCTTTGGATAACACAAGTCTTAATGGTTCTTATTTGCTCCCCGCCCAATCAAAAACATGTTTTTGTGGTAAAACTGGAATCCCGCCTTTTTCGCTGGCTGAGGTGGGCCCAAACGTCAGCTACCTGAAATTTGTCCAGAGTATGAGTTGAACTCTTTAGGTATATTATGCAAAATGCATAAATTACTACACAGCCATTTTACCTGTTCCTTTTGCATGGTCACCCTAAATAAATACGGCAGAAGATCCCTAGAGAGCTGCTACCAGCTGGTGGAGACAAGATGGAGCTAGATGGACCAATAAGGCAACTTCCTGTGACCCTATGACTTTCTGGTTTGTATTTTAGATTGAGTTGGTGGTTCAGGAGGTGTAAATGGAGGTGGTCCTACAGTAAGGCAAGGTCCTGGGCAAATGCCTCTGGGGGATCCGGAATAATGTACTTCTGAAGGCCCCGGTTGTTTACTTGGGCTAAGGAAATTCCCTGTGGACTGTTCCCACTTGTGAACTAGGGAGAAGTGTGTGCATGCCTGCACATGTGCATTTGGGTTTTCTGCTCCAGACCCCAAAGTGCCATGGGTCATCCTTAACTGTAAAATGGTCCATAAACCAAAATTTGGGCCTTCTTGGTCTAAGGGAGGCCCTTGTTGCCTCTTAAAATCAGGTCATTAAAGTTCCTATTGAGGGGGAAAGTCTCACCTGTAGGTTTTTGCTGGTCTGCCTCTTTTTACTTTGAAAGAAAAGCAACAACCATAGAATCATAGAGTTGGAAGAGACCACAAGGGCCATCGAGTCCAACCCCCTGCCAAGCAGGAAACACCATCAGAGCACTCCTGACATATGGTTGTCAAGCCTCTGCTTAAAGACCTCCAAAGAAGGAGACTCCACCACACTCCTTGGCAGCAAATTCCACTGTCAAACAGCTCTTACTGTCAGGAAGTTCTTCCTAATGTTTAGGTGGAATCTTCTTTCTTGTAGTTTGGATCCATTGCTCCGTGTCCGCTTCTCTGGAGCAGCAGAAAACAACCTTTCTCCCTCCTCTATGTGACATCCTTTTATATATTTGAACATGGCTATCATATCACCCCTTAACCTCCTCTTCTCCAGGCTAAACATGCCCAGCTCCCTTAGCCGTTCCTCATAAGGCATCGTTTCCAGGCCTTTGACCATTTTGGTTGCCCTCCTCTGGACACGTTCCAGTTTGTCAGTGTCCTTCTTGAACTGTGGTGCCCAGAACTGGACACAGTACTCCAGGTGAGGTCTCCATGTACTCCATGAGGCATAGGTTTAAGAAGATTGAAAGGCTTTTCTGCTGTGTTCTTGAAGGCAAGTAGAAAACCAGGTTATGAACATTGCTGTCTGTGGCAGTGCACTGACTATGAAATAGGACTCCCTGATGGGGAAAAAACAACTTGAAGAAGCCTTTGCCACGGCTAAAGAATGCATATGTGTTTTCTCTCTCAGTGCAGCTTACAGGCAAGAGACCCTCCTCCGCCATGACTGCTGCCCTACATACACATCTCTTTTCAGCCCAGTGCTTGAGGCAGCAGATCGCCAGCCTATCAGATATGCACGTGATGCTGTTTCAATCAGGATAAAAAAGGAATAAAGTGTGCGTGTGTGAGAGAGAGAATGAATTATCCTAAGGGAGCTCCGAAATGCACCCTTGAAATGCGTGATGAGATCCTACATGACATAGGTAGAGACTGATACGCGATCACTTATATCGAGCTCCCGAACAATTCCTCCTAAAAATAAGCAAAGACCTGGGCCAAAACACCCATTCATCCAGAAAAGTGCATCAAGGAACCTCTCTACTAAGGGAAGTTGCTATACAGGCAGCGTGCCATTTGCCGAATGTCTCCCTCGGTTTCGTAAGGCAACATTTCTGGTTAATCAATTACAGCCGCGAAAAAATGCAGTCCTGCCAGAGTCCGCTTCATTGTATGCAACGCTAGGGGCGGGGCGGGGGGGGGGGGGGAGAAATCTACCCTACATTTGCCTCTGCTTGACACAATGAGCAAGCATTTCAAAGCAGGATTTAGCTGTGCTGGAACATACAGTCAGCCTTCATTCTTCCACAGCATAATAAATGGGTATTAACTTAAAAGAGGCCTTTGGAAAGCTTGCCCCTGCTGAATACTGCAGGCGCTGAGTCAGTGAACTTTGCAAAGCCTCACCCCTGACCCCGGGACATGCATGCAAAGCAGACAATTACACAAGTAATTCTGGTTGTAGGATACTAGCAGTGCCGGCTTCAGGTTTTTTTGGGGGGGGGACCCCTCCCAGCTGTTATTGCCTCAAAGAGTGGAGGAGAAATTCAATACAGTAACACATTTAAAGCCAAATCTATCATATGTGTGCTTTTTCAGGCAGTAGGCAAACCAGAACATTGCTATTTTTCGGCATTCACGCGAGATTTGCAATGCGGTTTTGCAACCCTGCTATGTTTACGAAAAATGCACGTATTAGGGAAAGTGTGCATGAAAACAAAGAAATTAGTGAAAATAATGTACGAAAACGCACCATATTGCAAAAATTAGTAAAAATGTGTTTGTTAGGAGACTTTTTCGTGAGGATTTTTTAAAATAAAAAATTGCCTATTGTTGCCAAATGCGGAGAACTCGATTTAAGATTGGGGAAAGGGCAACTGGAGAGAGCTGAGATTGACAGATCCTTCCACCCACTAGTGGCCAGCTGTTGCTACTCCTCTGCTTCTATCATTACTACCACCCGTTTGCCTGCCAGGCAGAGCCAATGAGCAAGCAGATAATGGCTGTGACTTCTTCCTTCTCACCATGGCAGTTGTTCAGCTCCCCATCTCCTCTGGGCCAGAGTGAGAGGCAGATGAGCAATAAGGCTGCAGGAGTGAAGAAGGCGAGCAGGTCCTGATGGCTCTTGTCAGCGGGCACCTTGCTGGGAGGGGAGTCACCTGGACCCTTGGCAGGAGCCCAAATGGCCTCGGCCCAGTATACCTGAAGGAGCATCTCCACCCCCACCATTCAGTCCGGACACTGAGATCCAGCACCGAGGGCCTTCTGGCGGTTCTCTCACTGGGAGAAGTGAGGTTACAGGGAACCAGGCAGAGGGCCTTCCATGTAGTGGCTCCCTGTGGAATGCCCTCCCATCAGATGTCAAGGAAATAAGCAACTATCCTACTTTTAAAAGACAGTTGAAGGCAGCCCTGTTTAGGGAAGTTTTTAATGTTTAATGCTGTATTGTTGCACTCTTTCTTCACTCTTTCATTTGGTTTCATTGATCAATCATTTCCTATGGAATACCCTGAAGCCGTTTGAAAGTAAAAACATCTCTAAAAACAATGTCAAATCCAACATTGATATAGACACAGATCCAATACAGATAGAGTATTTAGTTATTACATTTATACCACACCTTTCCCCCAAGGAGCTCAAGGTGGTATGCATGGTTGTATTATTATTATTATTTAAATTTGTGTACCACCCTTAATCCGTGGATCTCAGGGCGGTTCACAACATAAAATTACAATATAACAAACACAACAACCACCTGTCTGTCAGGCGCTTGGGAATTACAGCGCAAAGAACTTTGACAGATGGGTGGGACAATGGACCTGTCCGTTGTCTGATGTCATAATGATTCCAAGTGATTGACAGGTGGGTTGTCCCATCCACCTGTCAAAGCTGGCCCTCAAGGGTGGGGACAGGTAGCAATCTGGCCTGCCGGGCCAAAAATGTTCATCTCCTCTGTCTTTCAAGAATGTCCCTATTTTCATATGTGACATGTCCGAGTGTATAGCATTGTGCTAACAATAAAAAAGTCACCTCCCCCATCACAGCCTTTTTTTTCTGAGATAGATCCCACAGTAGGTTGCAGTGTGTCCAGTGGATTCCTCTGCCGTGGATCTTTGCGGTGTACAGTGGATACGAATTACGGTAAATTCATTCTGGGGGTCCGTCTGCAACCCGAAAAGTCCGTAGGCAGAGGTGCCACTTCTGCACAAGTGGGGCGCAATTGAGTGCTTCTGCGCATGCGCGCATGGCAAAACCTGGAAGTATACACTTCCGGGTTTCCCGCGTTCATAACCTGAAGGTTATGTATCTAGAGCGGTACATAACTAGAGGGTCCACTGTATAAATCATCTCTGCCCACACACTCCACAGATCATAATACAGTGGTACCTCGGGTTAAGTACTTAATTCGTTCTGGAGGTCCGTTCTTAACCTGAATCTGTTATTAACCTGAAGCACCACTTTAGCTCATGGGGCCTCCTGCTGCTGCCGCGCCACTGAAGCACAATTTCTGTTCTCATCCTGAAGCAAAGTTCTTAACCTGAGGTAATATTTCTGGGTTAGCGGAGTCTGTAACCTGAAGCGTATGTAACCTGAGGTACCACTGTAACAGGCATTTGGTGCATCGGTATAAAAATGCTTACTGGAATACTACCCGATTAGAAGGTTAAACGTGAGTGCAGCAAATAAACAGCCACACACTTTTTTCCCAAGCGTCAAAGCAAAGAAGGGAAAGGGTGCCATATTGAACTGGATGACGGTGAAAAGAAATGTCTTAAGAAATAAAACAGGATGCTAAAGTTCCATGTATGGTGCTGCTTGGGCGTCTGGTTTGCCTGGTATGGGCTCCTTACCGTAGGGGTGGGGAACTTTTTTCCAGCCTGAGAGCCACATTGCCTTCGGAACAACTTTCTGAGGGCCGCAGGCAAAAGTTGACAATGCGAATTTTACCTTTGACCGGTAGGTTAGTTCCTTCCCTCTCACACATCCCTTTTTATCGTCCAACCAGGCAAGACAGAAACTTTCTCAAGAGTTCCAGTCAGGCAAAAACACTAAAGAAGGGTGCAAAGCTTGGGGAGAGACGACCCCTAGGCATGAGATTTCCCCTTCCTTGCCCGACAGCATTTCTCTTCTCCTAATGAGAAGAGTGTTAACGAGTGTTGCTTTCTTTCCTGATTAAAATACCATTTGACACCCTTTCCTTCTTCCTGTTTTTGTATTATTTCTCCTGATGCAGTCAGCGCAATTATTTTAAAAATGCTCGATGTTTTCCTTGCTGCCTCACACCCTTCTTTTTCCCATGAATTCTGAAAAGCATATGGAGGAGGTGGCAGAGGAGGTTTGCCCTGTGTGAGCTTAGCTGCTGCAGGGGCAGAGTGGAAACGCAGGACTATTTCATAATGAGCCCAAGGTCATGTGATTGAAACAGCCGGTCACATTTTTTGAATGCTTTAGCGGTTTGTAGCTCCCATGTAACTTCCCTCCCCCCCTGGCCACAGGAAATCATGTTCCAAAACGAGAAGAGAAAAACCCCCATCTGAATGGTTCTTCCAAATACAGTGGTACCTCAGGTTAAGTACTTAATTCATTCCGGAGGTCTGTTCTTAACCTGAAACTGTTCTTAACCTGAAGCACCACTTTAGCTAATGGGGCCTCCTGCTGCTGCCGCGCCGCCGGAGCCCGATTTCTGTTCTTATCCTGAAGCAAAGTTCTTAACCTGAAGCATTATTTCTGGGTTAGCGGCATGTGTAACCTGAAGCGGATGTAACCTGAAGCGTATGTAACCCGAGGTACCACTGTAAAAGAATAAGGTTTGGCTATTGGTCTTTGCTTTCTGTGAAAACACATGCTGTAAAATAACTACCAATGTGTAATACAGTGGTACCTCGGGTTTTATAAGCTTCAGGTTACATACGCTTCAGGTTACAGACTCTGCTAACCCAGAAATAGTACCTCGGGTTAAGAACCTTGCTTCAGGATGAGAGCAGAAATCGTGCTCTGGCGGCACGACGGCAGCAGGAGGCCCCATTAGCTAAAGTGATGCTTCAGGTTAAGAACAATTTCAGGTTAAGAACAGACCTCCGGAACGAATTTACTTAACCCGAGGTACCACTGTATTTTAAAAACTGTGTATTTTAATATTTAAAAGGATTGGAGTAATGAAAGAGCAAGCGTGGTGAACCATTGACCCACAAGCCTAATCTGGCCTGCCAAGATCTTAAAAAGTGCTCAACAACCTGCAGCTAAACCAATTGCAATCTGCTAGTAGACAAACCAGGCCCCGCCTTGCCATACCTTCCAAGTGTCTCTGTTTTCCAGGGACAGTCCTGGTGTGCCCCATGCCGCTGACAGTTAACCACAAACACTTAAAATGAATCCTTCGCGTACAGAGGTTGTTGATATATCTAATTAGCAGATGCTGGAAAAACAACAGGAAATGTCTCTCTCCATGGTATCCTGTTCCTGAGCATCCTTGAAGCATCCATCTGACCATAGTTGGAAACTGGGTGCTAAGGGAGATTAGATTATTATACACAGAGCTTCCATGTTCAAGAGCAGTATATCTTAGTGACCCATTGCTAGAGACAAATATTAAATATTGCTCTCATGCCCTGCTAGTGAACCTCCAGAGCAGGTATGTCCGAAGTTCCTAACTCCTGCCATACAGACGGCCGAACCAGCTTTGAAGCCAGACCAAATCAGGCCCACATAGCATCGAAAGGACTTGTGTGCTTTCTGGAAGGTTTGGAAGAGAATGGGGGTCATGTGTAGGGTTGTACTGCAAGCAGGCACATGATTTGGGCCCAACATTTTTTGGGGGGGCTGTTGCACATGCATGACGTCACACGTGCGATGCCCCAGCCCATCTGGCCACATCTGCTGGGACGGGCAGGCCCCTGATGGGCAGAGGTGTAGGAAGGTCAGGTGGTACCCGGTGCGGAAAATTTCTTGTCACCCCCCCACACATTGATTTTTATTTTATTTTTGCCTGCAAAAATGGTTTTACGTTATTTCATATTTTCTTACAAAGGAATACCGTATTTTTCGCCCTATAAGACGCACTTTCCCCCCCTCCAAAAATGAAGGGGAAATGTGTGTGCGTCTTATGGGGCGAATGCAGACTCCTTGGCTTCAGCGATAGCAACGCGAAGCCTCCGAAGCCTGTGCTCCAGAGGCTTCGCGTTGCTTCCGCTGAAGCCAGGAGAGTCTGCTCGTTGAGGCTGGCGGTGGGGGAAAGCAGCGCTTCCCCCATCGCCAGCCCCAGAGGATGGGGGGCAGCGGGAAGGCGCGCGACGCCTTGCCGCTACTCTCCAACCTGGCTTCGAGGCTGGCGGTGGGGAAAGCAGCGCTTCCCCCATCGCCAGCCCCAGAGGATGGGGGGCAGCAGGAAGGCGCGTGACGCCTTCCCGCTACTCTCCAACGTGGGTTTGAGGCTGGCGGTGGGGAAAGGAGTGCTTCCCCCATCGCCAGCCCCAGAGGATGGGGGGCAGCAGGAAGGTGCACGACGCCTTCCCGCTACTCTCCAACCCTCCTTTGGGCTTATGCGGGAGATGGGGGAATTCCCCCACCTCCCGCAAAAGCAGGCAAAAGCCGCGTGCTCTTTAAAGGGGCTCCGCGGCTTCTGATGGCTTTTCTACGGGGGGGGGGGATTCCCCCACCTCCTAGAAAAGCCCGCAGGAGCCGCACACCCTTTAAAGAGCGCGCCGCTCTTGGGGGCTTTTCCCCGAGGAGGGAGAAGGGACTGACTGGCCGTTTCAGTCCCTTCTCCCTCCTGGTCGAAAAGCCCGCAGGAGTCACGCGGGGCTCCTGTGGGCTTTTGAGGGAGGTGGGGGAATTCCGCCACCTCCCGCAAAAGCAGGGAGAAGGTCTTGGAGTAGCGCACAGGCTGCGTGCAGCCTGTCCACTGCTCCCAGAGCTGCGGGGGGGAAATCATATTTTTTTCCTTGATTTCCCCCCCTGAAAACTAGGTGCGTCCTATGGGCCGGTGCGTCCTATAGGGCGAAAAATACGGTAATAATAAGTAATAATAATAATAATAATAATAATAATAATAAACTTTTATTTACATCCCCCCCCCCGGCCGAAGTCAAGCTCAGGGCGGCTAACATCAAATACATAACACTGGTATAAAATCAAACAATAATTAAATTACCTCCTAAAAACATGTCAAAATCAAATTAAAGTCTAATTAGATGGCTTTCTGCAGGGTTAGGGTTGGGAACAGTAAGTGCTCCACTGACTTGAAATTTCAGCCTTCACAACACAGGAAAACGGCCAAGTAAACAGCTATTTTTGTGAAGGAGGGTCAAGATATTAACTGATATGCATGAAATTTCATATATAGCTATATAAACCCTAGTGTAGTAAGATAAGACCTTTGGAGCCGCATTTTTTTTAAAAAAGTTTTTTTTGAACTGCCCTAGTAGGGCAGCAATTGTTCCTTGATAATTTGTCACCCCCCTCCATGATGGAACCTGCGGCGGACCACCCCCCACTTCCTATGCCCCTGCTGCTGGGATGCTCTGGCGATCGCAGCAGAGGACACAGGGGGTGAAAATCGCCCTCCAAACCTCTTCTCCTGCCCGGCATGCCAGCGCTCGCCTGGGGGGGTCGGGCGTCCCCTCAATATTGGGGGGCTCAGCCCCTGCCTCAAAATAGCGCCCCTGACCGCGAGTCAATATTGATCACTGAGAGCATCACTGAGGAGCGTCATTAGCTGTGAGTTGGCAAGACTCATACGACCACAACACGAAATGCAGCCTTTAGTGCCCCCCTGTTTCAGCCTTTAAATCCTGCAAAACAGGTTTGACTAGAGACCCCAGTGGAATGCAATTTCTTTGTTTAACAAAAATGTGTCTATCCTGAGCAACGACAGCCAGGGATGGGTGAATCTATCAATTTAGGTTTCTCTCGTTCTTATTTTTCTCATCCAAAGTTCGGTTTGCCGCATTCCTACACCAGTTTTTAATTAATGTTATAAGTCCTCATGAAAATTCACCATCATTTTTGCTTCCTCCTAATACACACAATTTTTAGTGCAATCTTGCCTAATATACAATTTTTTCCAAGCAATTTCCCCATATATATATATATGCATTCTGTTATTTCAAGAATATATGCCTTTTTTTTTGCTGTAATGACATTTGGAGGTTGGAGAACAGCATTGCAAAATTTGGAGAGGCGTGAATATCAAAGGTTGGCTGGGTTTCAGTTCCTGTATTTTTCAGGAAGTGTGAACCAGGTAGCTTTTTCATTAACATGCAGGCCAAAGTGAACGTGTCTCTCGAATGACAGCTCTACTTTACCAGTCGCAAGTTTCTGATAAGCTATCATCTGTATGCAGGTAGATGCCATAGGGCCCTTCATCAGGTTCATTTGCCTAAAGAAGTTGGGTGGGCAGATGTCTTCTAGGAAAAGGGCCTTATCGGTGGTGGCACTCCATTCATGGAATAGCATCCCCAGAGAGGCTGACCTGTCAGCTATGTTATAGATCTTGAGAAAATACCCTTTTCTTCTCCCAAGCCTTTTATCTTTCGATTGTTGTTGTTTAGTCGTTTAGTCGTGTCCGACTCTTTGTGACCCCATGGACCAGAGCACGCCAGGCACTCCTGTCTTCCACTGCCTCCCGCAGTTTGGTCAGACTCATGTTTGTAGCTTCGAGAACACCGTCCAACCATCTCGTCCTCTGTCGTCCCCTTCTACTTGTGCCCTCCATCTTTCCCAACATCAGGTTCTTTTCCAGGGAGTCTTCTCTTCCCATGAGGTGGCCAAAATCTTGGAGCCTCAGCTTCAGGATCTGTCCTTCCAGTGAGCACTCAGGGCTGATTTTCTTCAGAATGGAGAGGTTTGATCTTCTTGCAGTCCATGGGACTCTCAAGAGTCTCCTCCAGCACCATAATTCAAAAGCATCAATTCTTCGGTGATCAGCCTTCTTTATGGTCCAGCTCTAACTTCCATTTCATATGATCTTTCGATACACATATATTTTTCTTGCTATTTAATTTTTTGCACCAGTTTCTTTTTCCCCATGCTGTTTTGCTTTGTTGTTTGCTGGTTTTGATAAACATCATGATGCATCTGTTTATGTGGACAAGTAGCCCAGGTATGATCAGGTGAGGAGCAATTGGAAGAGAGGTTGTGTGGTGTTGGAAAACATCACTGCGTATGGCTAAACTATACCAAGCAGAAGCTCAATAGTAAAAGTGCAAGGAAGCACAAAGAACCCACACATGTGTTTGTGTGTGCTGCCATTTCAGATCTTTCCCAAAAGTCATAGAATCATAGAGTTGGAAGGGACACCAATGGTCATCTAGTCCAACCCTCCTCCAATGCAGGAATCTCAACTAAATCACCTGTCACAGCTGGTCATCCAACCTCTGCTTGAAACCCTCCAAGGAAGGAGAGGCTACCACCCTCCAAGATGGCCATCATATCTCCTCTCAGCCTTCTCTTTTCTAGGCCAAACATACCCAGCTCCTTCAACCGTTCCTCATAAGGCTTGGCTTTCCAGACCCTCGATCATCTTGTCCGCCCTCCTCTGCACACATTCCAGTCGTATCTTCTGTTTTGGAAAAAGAACAGACAAAAGGAAGAGAAATCCTGGGATAACTGCATGCCCCATAAAACCCCTGTAAGGTTTCCCTGTAGGGAAAGTGCTTCGAAAGATCCACTGATGTTTGTAAAATCCCCTCCCCTTTTGCTCTCCTAAGAATTTTACTTTACAGGCTGCGCTATCACATGCCAAGTTCCTGTTGTCATCTTTGTGGCTCAATCTTTGTCCAAGGAACTCAATTTCGGCCTGAGGCCCTTTTTAAAAGCTTCAGAAAAACCCTGTGAGGTGAGGTAGGCTAGGCTGAGAGAAGTGACTAGCTGAAAGTCGCTCAGTGAGTTTCATGGCTCTGGAAGGATTTAGACCAGGGGTCAGCAAACGTTTTCAGCAGGGGGCCGGTCCACTGTCCCTCAGACCTTGTGGGGGGCCGGACTATTTTTTTTTTTTGGGGGGGGAAATGAACGAATTCGTATGCCCCACAAATAACCCAGAGATGCATTTTAAATAAAAGGACACATTCTACTCATGGAAATACACACTGATTCCCGGACCGTCCGCAGGCCGGATTGAGAAGGCGATTGGGCCGGATCCGGCCCCCGGGCCTTAGTTTGCCTACCCATGATTTAGACCCATCCTTACCCACCAAATTCACTACATTGCTCTGGCCTTCTTTTGTAGGTTTCCAAATGCAGTGAATTATGTATGATGTTCTGAAGCACTGATTTCTGCTCTACAGAACATTATATATATATATATATATATATATATATATATATATATATATGCTTTAAAAGCTTTCTATGTAGTTTCAGGCATGGCATTATCTATCCATTTCCGCTGCTCTGTTCCTCTATATATGCAAACAGGGTTGTATTTGCCATGGTAACCAATCTACTGCTATCAAGAAGTCGCTGGAAAATGCATAATAGATGCTGGACTTTGTCTTGGAGTACAATTAGATGGAGCGTGGACAAACCTGCAGAACAAGGAGATCTAAAAATAGGATTTATTTAAGAATGTGCTAGGGTGGAGGGGTTGCCTCAGCATAGTAATCAGTTGTGTATTCACACTCGCTGTCGTGTGCGTATTTTTAATTTAGTTATTGCATTTCATAGATTACCTACCCATAAGCCACTCAAAGTGGTGTAACACATACTAATTTACTAGTGAAAGCCACAAAATTGGATAAAAGTCATTTAAAAACAATAACCACCCTTCTACTGCTGTGGGAAGGAGAGAAAAATCTCTCTTCCCCCTTCGCCGCCCGTAGTAGCGGCAAGACGCTTGGGAAATGTGTGCCAGGGATTTTGACAGGTGGGCGGGACAGCCTGATTGCCAATCCATGTGACATCATAATGATGTCAGCCCCCTGGCATCTTCGCCAGCCCTGCCCACTTGCCAACTTTGACCCTTGAGGCTGATCCTGGTAAGGATCCCTCTTTACCAGGCTCAGCTGGGAGTCAGAATCTGTTGCAAGTCCTACTGGCAATGTACTACATAACAGCCAGAGATCTAGCAGTAGATCCAAATGTACCTTCTGCCCACCTCTAATTCAGGTGCATGCTCCCTTTTGATCCTCAACAATCTGAGTCAGTAGCCTTTGTGGTTAAACCTCAAACCACTCCCCCATATGAATTTGTTTAATCCCTCGTTGTAAACCTGTCTATATTGGTGGCCACTTTATGTAGAACTTGGAACTGGTAGTCCTTTGAAAAAGTCCTTCCTTTGCAAAAAAAAACACCCCAACAACCTTTCAGTGAATGACTTCTCAGATTTTGATGGATTTTCTCTTTTAACTGCTTCTTTAAAGGTAAAGGGACCCCTGACCATTAGGCCCAGTCGCAGACGACTCTGGGGTTGCGGCCCTCATCTCGCTTTATTGGCCGAGGGAGCCGGCGTACAGCTTCTGGGTCATGTGGCCAGCATGACTAAGCCGCTTCTGGCGAACAACACTGTTGTTGTTGTTGCTGTTGTTTTTAATTTAAAAAGTTCAAAAATGAACTCTTAAAAACAGTCTCTGAAATATCATTACTTAGAGGAGCTCAGGTGGAATCTACACACATATAAAAAAAGGCTGTGAAAACGGTTTTAAAGGTTTAATTTGATTTTTTGTTACCTTTTTATGGTGATTTTTTGTCTTTTGTATTTTTCTTTTGTATTGTTTGTTTTTTGTATAAGATGTATGTGATTTGTTTTTCTTTTTCTACTTTTTTCTTTTTTTGTAATTTTTAAAATTGGAATAAATATTTATAAAAAAAAAAAAGGCTGTGAAAATGCTTTTTTTAAAAAAACTTTTGAAAAATGCATTGAATTTGCCGTAGCTCACAGTTGCCATCTAGTGTCCCATTTGTATATTGCGCTTTACAACACATTTGAAACGTCTTATTTGCAGCTATATAGCTCAGTCTTAAGTGGCAAAGGGGACGCTATCTCTGAACTTTCAGTTTTATTGAATATTACGAGAAAGAAATTTACATTTCTTGCGACGCCCATTTTGCCTCTGGCCCCGCCCACCGGCATGCTACCGCTGGAAGGGGAACTTGGAAGGGAATGTGGCCCCTGGTCTGAAAAAGATCCTTCATCTCTGCTGTGTGTTGTCTGCAATCTTTCAAAACTACCTTTCAACACCATGTCTCTCTCTCCAGATGATGAGTGGGCAGATTCTCCTGCCCATGTTGTGTCCCTAGGCAATTTGCGTAGGTGTGTGTTTGTCCTTCACTGATAAGCTGATTCTTGGTCTTTCACCTCCTCCCCTCTCCTTCCTGTCTTTGGATTCCTGGCTGCCAAGAATTCACTGGGTACTGTTTCTTTTGCAGAAGTGCATTACAAAAGATCAGGTCTTTGGGGTTTCTAAGCTTCTAGATTCAAGTCTAATTTTATTTCCGAAGAGGCAAACACCTGATCTCAGTGTGAAACTTAAGGGAAGGGGGAGGGGGCGTGAAGAGAATAAAGCAATCGCCGCATTTCTTTTTTACCCGTATAAATAAACCATAGCATTAAACAGGTCTCTAAAAATAAACAGCTCTCTGGCAAATTCTCCCAGAGAAAGGAATGTGCCCTACTTTGCAGTTTGTTGCCCAGATGTTTACAGAATGAAAGGCTTTTGAGAAAAGACCGCTTTAAAAATTACTCCCAATTAGTTTCATTTATCTGTTTATGAACAGCATGCACCCTTAACTTGAAGGTCCCAGGGTGGAAATATACACGGTCCAAAACAGAATTATTCAATAAAATTGAACAGCGTAGAACAAAATGCAGAATTCAGCTGCAAACAAAACAACCCACCAGAAGCATATAGCATAGCAAATGTGCTTATTTATTACAAGATCCTGATACCACCATCCTTGGGGTAAGCCCATATGCAACTGGGCATTTTAATGTAGAAAGAAGGAAAGTAAAGGGAGAGAGGATCAAGGTTCATAAAAGTTTCCATGTTGTAAAGAAAGCAGATAGAAATGTAAATTTTCTTCCCTCCTGTGTAATACTAGAACCAATACTAGGGTTATCCAATCAGGCTACCAGCTTGCTGAATCTGAAAGGGCCTTTTCTGCAGTGGCTCCCCATTTGTGGAAAGTTCTCCCCAGTTAGGTTTGGTTGGCACCTTCATTATACACCTTTAGGTGCCAGGTGAAAACATCCCTCTTCAACCAAGCCTTTGGCTGATGGACATTCGATGCCCTTTTAAATGTGTTGTGAGACTGGGGATTATTGGTTTGTTGTTGTTCTTATTTTTACTATGTATTTTTGTGGGTTTTGTATTGCAATTTTGCATTGTGAACTGCCCAGAGACCTGTGGATGAAGGGCGGCATACAAATTTAATAAATAAAAAATAAAACTAATAAGATCTAGGCCTGGTCATTCAAGCATGTGCTGCAATGCAGCTGTCCCAGCACCACCGTGAATTATGTGACCAGAACCCTGCCCCGCATAATCAATCACATGACACGTTGCACACACACCATTTGAATAGCCATGCCCATCAACTTGGGGGGGGGCAGCCCTCTCAAATAATTTATGGGGGGGGGCTGAAGACCCCTTGGTCCCTAGGATTTGGCTCCTATAGACCTGGCACCCCCAAACTCAGCCCTCCAGCCGTTTTCGGACTACAGTTCCCATCATCCCTGACCACTGGTCCTGTTACCTAGGGATGATGGGAGTTGTAGTCCCAAAACAGCTGGAAGGCTGAGTTTGGGGGTGCCTGGACCAGAGAAACATATGGATATGCATTATATCTGCTAGAGGGTGTGACCTGGGCTGGCTGCCTCTCTGCCAGCTCACTCAGTCAGGGCCTTCCCCTAGGACACTGAGCTGTGTTGGGAGAAGACCACTGTTGTTGTTGTTTAGTCATTTAGTCATGTCCGACTCTTCGTGACCCCATGGACCAGAGCACGCCAGGCATAATAATAATAATAATAATAATAATAATAATAATAATTTTTAAAAAATTATTTATACCCTGCTCATCTGGCTGGGTTTCCCCAGCGACTCTGGGCGGCTTCCAACAAAATATTGAAAACACAATCAAACATCAAACATTTAAAACTTCCCTAAACAGGGCTGCCTTCAGCTGTCTTCCAAAAGTCAGATAGTTGTTTATTTCCTTGACATCTCACGGGAGGTGTTCCACAGGCCGGGCGCCACCACCGAGAAGGCCCTCTGCCTGGTTCCCTGTAACCTCACTTCTTGCAGTGAGGGAACCAACAGAAGGCCCTCGGTGCTGGACCTCAGTGTCCAGACTGAACGATGGGGATGTATGCACTCCTTTAGGTATACTGGGCCGATGCCGTTTAGGGCTTTAAGGTCAGCACCAACACTTTGAATTGTGCTCGGAAACGTACTGGGAGCCAATGTAGCTTTTTCAGGACTGGTGTCATATGGTTAGATGAACCAGCTGGCCTACGCAGTAGCAAGCAAGCAAGGCTTCTTCTGGTGCAATAGCTCAGGTGGATGGGAGGAAGCCCAGGAGGAACAGCTATGGGGCACTTGCCCTCAACCCCAGATTCCAGAGGTGACCACCTCACATTCCCTAATATTAGTGCCAGCCTTAGACACTGAAGTACAGTAACTTGTATTTTGCTCCATAGGCATATTTTCAAAATCTCTTCTATGACTAATGGGCGCTGCTTTTCCCCTTGCAAAGCTGAGACTCATTTTTAGTTCCATGCTTAAAAGCTTTTGGGCAACTTGCGAATTTCTGTCTTTACTGAGCTGCAGGGGGACATTTTAATTCAGGTGGAGAATCTAGGTCAGCTGTTCATAAAAATAACTCAAGTGTTCATTGAACAAAAGGTACAAGCCTCCAGCAGCCCAGAGAGGTTATTCCCCCCCCCTTTCCCTTTCTTTTAAAAAAGATTTTGGATATTATCAGCTCACAAATTTGACACCCAATTCATTGCGCGCAACTTTTCCTGTGAATGGGACTGTTGAAGGAGCTACCAACTCAATGGATGTCAGTGGAAGTCTTTTTTTTTTTTAAAGAGTTGTTATTAAGGTTAATTGGGTTTTTCCAAATGAGCAGAAAAACAATTCATTCATTTCCAGGAAGAAGGGAAAAAATGCAGCCACAGCCAAAAATATTTAATTCATTCACACTACACAAAGCCTCAGTTCAGATTGTCAATGTGTATGCACTGTACTTTGCTCCCTGTGTGGGACTAAAATGAGGCACAATAATGGAAAATAAGTTTTGTTTGGATGTTTTCATTTTGGGGAAAGATTTGTGGAAGGGGTGGGGTCTCTCCTAGTAGTTCCACCAGACTTAGAAGTGCTGGAAATGGTGGTCAGCGACAGGGCTTTCTCGGTGGCAGCCCCTAAATTGTGGAATTCCCTCCCTCTCAGCTTCCTATTCCTCAGCTGTTAAGGTCAGTTCCCCACATTTCCATATCAGCTGGTGGGTTGTTGTTTTTCAAAGCCCTCATAAAAAATCGCCCGCATTTTTGTGAGAATTTCTCCTGATAGACACCTTTTTGTATGCCATTTTTTGTATGCCATATCTGCCCAATATCAGGGCCGGCTCTAGCTGCTTTGCTGCCTGAGGCAAAGGACAAAATGGCGCCCCCCGATTATGACAGGCAGTTGAACCTTACTTCAACACAGTTGAAGGGGCTGCGTCTTTCGGCGGGCCTAAGGACAGCAGGCCAGGTATGGCAGGGCAGAGCAGTCTGGCTTAGGGGACTGAGGGAGAATGGTGGTGACTGGTGCCTATTGGGATTGGTATGGCAGAAGACAGGAAGCCTGACAGTAGGAGATGAAGCCAGAGCCCATGACAGGCAGAGCTGTCCCCTGACTGGTTGTGTGTAAGAACCAGCAGGTGGGGCTGGTTCAGGGCAGGCTGGGGTTGGTATGGCACTGCCCCATTTCCTCAAATGGAGCTGCCTCTGCTGAGGGGAAATGGTGAGGAGACTGCTGCCACCCCCCAGCACCTGCCACCTGAGGCAGCTGCCTCGCTCTGTCTAATGGTAGGGCCAAAAACAAACCCCTGTGTTGCAGTAAGAACCAATCACAACTACTAATAGTTAGTAGAAAATATATATGGTAATACCTCTGTGAACATCCACCTTGTCTAGTGTCCATTCCAGTGAACGGCTGCAGGAAACCTGGAAGTACCAGAACAGGTTACTTCCGGGTTTGCCACTCACGCATGCGCAGAAGCTCTAAATCACGCTTCGTGCATGCGCAGAAGCACAAACCACTTCGTGCGTGTGCGCAGAGGCAGCACTTTGCCCTGCGTCCTTTTCAGCTAGCGGCCAGGGCTCCGGAACGGATCCCATACACAAAACTGTAATAGAATAATTTTATCATTCAGATTATAGGAGTAAGCCAATCAAAGTTTATATGTACAATAAAAGAGTGGTAGCGAGGACCGTCAAGCCATGTGTTCAAAACAGGACAGTCTCTCAACAGTCTTTCAAAAGTTTCAATAGAAGATTATTGAGAGACTTTACTTTTGAAACTTTTGAGATGATTGGCTTACTCCTATAATTTGAATGATATCATTATTCCACTATATATTTTCTACTAACTAACAGCCTACGTGTTTTGTTTGTATTATTGTAATGGTAGGGCCAGCCTTGCCTGACATACACATTTTTGCATAGCAATTTCCCCACATATAATGCATTTTGGGATGCTGTTTTTTTAAAAAAAATCATGTGCATATTTTAAGGCACACTATACCCTCATGTATGTATTTTTTTTACACATTACTTGCCTGGAGAAGTGCATCGCAAAATTCAGAGGAGTGGAAATGTCAAAGGACAATTTGTATTTCAGTTCAAACAATGGTTTGGAAAGGGTGAATTTGGCAGGTCCATCTTTATATGCAAGCTGAATCAAATTACTATCCCTATTCTGTCATTTATTTGTTATTTTTGCCATCTTTCGCCAAAATATTCCTTCTGAGAAGCAGAGCCAGATCTTCAGGAGACCAGGGCTGCGTAGCTATGCTTTCACTACCAGGGATAAATTGTTACCCCCTTTACAGTGGTACCTCGGGTTACAAACACTTTGGGTTACAGACTCCGCTAACCCGGAAGTAGTACCTCAGGTTAAGAACTTTACCTCAGGATGAAACAGAAATTGCGTGCTGGCGGTGCGGCGGCAGCGGGAGGCCCTATTAGATAAAGTGGTACCTCAGAATAAGAACGGTTTCAGGTTAAGAACGGACCACCAGAACGAATTAAGTTAGTAACCAGAGGTACCACTGTACTAAATACACTGTGCATGATTTGTAAATGTGTAGCTCAGAAGAGGAATGCTGTGCTGCAACCACATTTTAAAAATATGAGGCAGTATCTGAATAATTCGTTCCATCAGCACAAGGATTTCTGCTTGTACAATGGAACTTCCTCTCTGTCCACCCACTGAACTTGGCCTATATCAGTTCCAGGGATTCTTTCCACCAGAAATCCTTGTACTGATGGGGAACAAGTTTGTTGGATATCATTGCTCATAGGATGAGGAATCATATGACGTTTATAGTTCCGGTATTTGCTATCCTTTTTTTTTTTGCTTTTGTTTTATTCAGGCTTAGACATAAAGTGGTTTGTCTTTTAGGCGGATATTGGGAGGAAGCAAATGTTAAGAAGAGTCTTTTGTTACTGCTGGGCACTGGCAGAATGAAATCAGCCCTGAGTTGGTAATCCCTTCCCTCTGTCATGTGCTACAATGACTACATTGTGTTCTAGCAAATGGGCAGGCCAAACAAACAAGCAAACATCTTATTAGCTTATTTCAGCAAAAGTATCAATATTTGGTGAATCATAAAAACAGAATTCTAAATTTAATTGCCGTGGGTCTTCCAAGTGTGTCCTTATTCAATTTGACACTTCCTGCAAATGGTAGCAATGTCCAAAGCAGTTTTTAATAGGACCCATTCCCTAATGAGGAGAGAGTATTATTATAATTATTATTATTACCACAACATTTATTTCTCACCTTTCCTCCTGGTAGTTGGTGTACATGGGTATTTCCTTTCCATTTTATCCTCACAACAACCCTGTGAGGTAGGCGAGACTGTGGCAGTAGAGACTGATCTGGGAGAGACATGTTTTGTTTCAGCTGGGGCTGATGCAGATGCAACATGGCATTTCTTCTCTCTGCGCTCCTTCCAGAAGTCATTCCTTCTCTGGCCACTGCTGTGGATACACAGCCTGACTGTCTTGTCTTCAGCCACTGCTGTTTGGAATTCCCTTGCACACTACCTCTGACTGTGGAGGCAGAGCATAGCCATCTATGTGGGGCTGCCCTTGAGACTGACCCAGAAACTCCAGTGGGTGCAGAATGCCGCGGCGAGACTCCTTATGGGGTCCTCGCCATGGGATCACATTCACCCGGTGCTATACCAGCTGCACTGGCTCCTGGTGGAGTACAGGATCAGGTTTAAGGTGCTGGTTTTAACCTTTAAAGCCCTATATGGCCTAGGACCCTTGTACCTACAGGACTGCCTCTCCTGGTATGCCCCACGGAGGACCTTACAGTCTTCAAATAAAAACATCTTGAAGGTCCCAGGCCACAGAGAAGTTAGGCTGGCCTCAACTAGAGCCAGGGCTTTTTCGGCTGTGGCTCCGATCTGGTGGAACACTCTGTCACAAGAGACCAGGGCCCTGCGGGACTTGACATCTTTCCGCAGGGGCTGCAAGACAGAGCTGTTTTTTGGCTGTGGCTCCGATCTGGTGGAACGCTCTGTCACAAGAGACTAGGGCCCTGTGGGACTTGACATCTTTCCATTAATTTGACTCTGAATTGATTTTAGAATGAATTGATTTTAGAATGTATTTCAATTAATTGATTATGATTTTATGTAAACTGTGTTATTTTTACTGTTGTTAGCTGCTCTGAGCCCGGCTTCGGTTGGGGAGGGCGGGATATAAATAAAATGTTGTTGTTGTTGTTGTTGTTGTTGTTGTTGTTGTTGTTATCATCATCAGGGTTAGTAGCCATGGATAGCAATATCTTCCTTGAACCTTATTCACTCTGTGATCCCGAACTACACTTGCCACATGGGTTGCAGAAATCCATATGGAAGCTGTCACGTGGCGCAAAGATGTTGTTTGATTCTTTTCTAAAGGTACACGAAAAAGTTTGCAAACTGCAGCACATGGCTTGGGGTGAGCGGAGCAAGTAGGTGCCATTTGGCCACCCTTGTCAGCTGCAGCTGGGACTCATGCAGCATATATTTCATTGCATGAGAGGGGTCATGTGACCGGGCCTTGGCATGAATTTTCCCACTCGGCATGCAGCCCAAACAAGCATTGTAATTTTTTGTGCTCTTTCATTATGCAAAATGACACCATGCCTCTAGACTATGCTATAGCCCAGCATTACTCCACAGCCCGGCATTGTCAGCAAGATCAAGGGAAGTCATAAAAAGGTAAAGGGTAAAGGGACCCCTGACTATTAGGTCTAGTCGTGACCAACTCTGGGGTTGTGGCGCTCATCTCGCTTTATTGGCTGAGGTACCTGGTGTACAGCTTCCGGGTCATGTGGCCAGCATGGAATTTGGTGGTTGGCGATTACTTATAAATCACTGGAATGTGTGCCCCATCTGGTACACAGGCTGAGACCCTACCTGCCCGCAGACTCACCAGAGTGGTGCATGCTCTAGTTATCTCCCGCTTGGACTACTGCAATGCGCTCTATGTGGGGCTACCTTTGAAGGTGACCCGGAAACTACATCTAATCCAGAATGCGGCAGCTAGACTGGTGACTGGGAGCGGCTGCCAAGACCCTATAAAACCAATCCTTAAAGACCTACAGTGGCTCCCAGTACATTTCCGAGCACAATTCAAAGTGTTGGTGCTGACCTTTAAAGCCCTAAACGGCCTCAGCCCAGTACAGTGGTACCTCGGGTTACATACGCTTCAGGTTACAGACTCTGCTAACCCAGAAATAGTATCTTGGGTTAAGAAATTTGCTTCAGGATGAGAACAGAAATCGTGCTCTGGTGGCGCGGCAGCAGCAGGAGGCCCCATTAGCTAAAGTGGTGCTTCAGGTTAAGAACAGTTTCAGGTTAAGAACGGACCTCCGGAACGAATTAAGTACTTAACCCAAGGTACCACTGTATACCTGAAGGAGCGTCTCCACCCCCATCGTTCTGCCTGGAGACTGAGGTCCAGCACCGAGGGCTTTCAGGTGGTTCCCTCACTGCGAGAAGTGAGGTTGCAGGGAACCAGGCAGAGGGCCTTCTTGGTAGTGGCGCCTGCTCTGTGGAACGCCCTCCCATCAGATGTTAAAGAAATAAACAACTATCTGACATTTAGAAGACACCTGAAGGCAGCCCTGTTTAGGGAAGTTTTTAATGACTGATGTTTTAATGTATTTTTAATATTTTGTTGGAAACTGCCCAGAGCCAGATGGGTAGGGTATAAATAATAAATTATTATTATTATTATTATTATTATTATTATTATTATTATTTCTGTCTGAAAGCAATACTTTCCACTCATGAACTGGATGTTAGTAATAGGTGGCTACTTGCCTCGATGGCTATGTTCTGCCTCTGAATGCCAGTTGCTGGGAATTGCAGGTGGGCAGAGTGATGTTTCAATCGGGTCCCACTTGCAACCTTGCCAAAGGTAAAGGTAAAGGTACCCCTGCCCGTACGGGCCAGTCGTGTCCGACTCTGGGATTGCGCACCCATCTCGCTTAAGAGGCCAGCGCTGTCTGGAGACACTTCCGGGTCACGTGGCCAGCGTGACGAAGCTGCTCTGGCGAGCCAGAACCAGCGCAGCACACGGAAACGCCGTTTACCTTCCCGCTATAAAGCGGTACCTATTTATCTACTTGCACTTAAGGGTGCTTTTGAACTGCTAGGTGGGCAGGAGCTGGGACCGAAAGACGGGAGTTCACCCCGTCGCGGGGATTCGAACTGCCGACCATGCGATCGGCAAGCCCTAGGTGCTGAGGTTTTACCCACAGCGCCTCCCGCGTTCCAACCTTGCCAAAGGCACCTGTTTATCCACTGCTAAGAACAGACATCTGCCCTAGATGGGGCACTGGCCTGATCCCGGAAGCTCTTCTTATGTTCTTATATCCCCTAAGCAAGATGGTATGGGGAAACAGCCTACCATTTGGAAGATTGCTGGGGTAGGACTGCGGAGAGGCTTTGGATAAGTGGGAAGTCGAGTTCAGGGACGGACAGCTGCGGTGGTGCTTCTCTGCCAGCAACAGTTGTGGCAGGGCATGCGGCAGTGGCAGAATGGGTGGCGCAGGGAGCAGTAGTGGCAGCAAGTATGGCGGTGGTGGGAGCGGTGGCTGTGGCAAGAGTGGTAGGGCAAGGCGGCACTCCCCATTTCACCTGAAGAGGCGAAATGGGACACCCAGCCCATACTGGGGAGCCATGCCTCGGAAACGTATAATAGGCCAGCAAGACCCCTATTGTACTTGCAGTGGATTTGGGGCAGCGTGTGGCCCAGAGAGTCCTTATCAATGCAGTTATCTGTCTGGGAAAGATCCGGAATGCTTCAACATTCAGAAGACGTCTGCTGACGGATTGTGGTCCCTAAAGAAGGCCCTGAGGAAACAGAGGCTGCCTCACGTCAACCAGAGGATGTGGGGGCTGATGAAGAGGAGGAATTGTCAAGAGCAGTTGCTGAGATGCAGGCCCCAAAGAGCAATCTGGAGAAACTTGATTCTGGGACAAGGTCCAGTCTGGACAATGGGATGAGCGAAGAGACAGAATTTGAGTCTGTGGACAATTCCACGCTGCTTGCAGAGGCCAACTTCTCAGTCACTTCCTGGGAGGGGGATCCCTCAAGCCTGCTGCCCCCAGGGGCCAGGACCCTCACTCCAGGCTCAGAGATCCGGCAGAGAAGTACTTGCTCCAGTTCCTGAAAAGGGGGTGGGCAGGTTTGTTTGCGGCCGCACGAGCCCCTCCTCAGCCTTTTGCACTGCTCCCAATAGCTTGCACCCACCCCAAGCCTTGCTCTCCAAGGGGAGCCTCTGCTCCCAGCTTGTGTTTACATTCCAGCTCCTTTTTCTCTTCCCCTGCCTCCTACTCCTCACCCGGAGACACTGTAACTTAAAGATTTACCTGCTAATGAAAAGAAAAAAGACCCCTATTGGCTCCACAAGTCACCTGGTTCCTCCTTGGTTGACCAGTGATGCTTTTTTCCCTTACCACTGTCAGGAGGGCACTGTGGAGTGACAAAGCTCAGACCCACCAGTTCATTCAGTTGTTCAGCTGGTGCAGATAATAAGTTTTTTGGCTGTGACTGGCAGATCCTCTGGTATGAGCCAATACCTTACAAAACCATAGAGACCAGTTGCTTGAGAGATGAGTCCGAACCCTCTTTGGCTATTGAGATACATTGGCTCAACCCATAAGCTTCAGGGTTAAGGAAGTATGGGGGAAGAAGGTGAACCTACCAAATTTTCAATTTCTGAAATAGATATGTGAACTGAAGCACAGCCACCCTTTGAGCAGCACGGCAGGGAGTTGGGTTTGCAGGCAGATAAGCTCAGAGGGAGACAGATGCATGGATGGGATTTTCCATCCAGCAGTCACAAGACGCTTCCTGGGGCAACCAAAAAGCAAGAGAAAACAAAACTAATGCCTAATGATAGCAGCAGTCATATTGTGCGGCAAAACTTTGGAACGGTTGTCAGGAGTTTGCTGAATTTTTATTTTTGTATAAAAAACCCCAACCAACAACGTTACTGCCTCAACAGATTTGCTGACAGACTACTGTACACTTATTTACATAGGGCTGCTTGTCACAAAAGATTTATCCCGCAAAGGACTTTGCAGAAGAGAGCCTTCTGCACACACACAGTGTACGCACCAGTGCTCTGGCAAATAGGCATTGACACGACTGATGTGGCTCTTTATCCACTGCCCACACAGTGTGCCTGCAATACTGTTTTGCCCTGTCAGTGGAGAACCTCTGGTCTAATCCAGCCTGCCTGACCCCGCCAGGCCATTTCTAGCCAACTCTGCCCTACCACCAATAAGGTGACACCATTTTGATCTGCCCCACAACTTTCAGTCAGCTCTGCCCTGCTACTTCCTTTGTGCCAGGCCTACAGTTTTGTGGGTGAGGGACTGACTATTAAACCACTCTGAGAAGTGTAGCTCTCCGCTGTAAACTGCTATAATAATAATAATAATAATAATAATAATAATAATAATTTATTTATACCTCACCCATCTGGCTGGGTTTCCCCAGCCACTCTGGGCAGCTCCCAACAGAATATTAAAAACACGATAAAACATCAGGCATTAATAGCTTCCCTAAACAGGGCTGCCTTCAGGTGTCTTCTATAAGTCAGATACCTTTGTACCTTGGGTTACAAATGCTTCAGGTTACAAACTCCGCTAACCCAGAAGCATAGCTGTCAACATTTTCCCTTTTTTTAAGGGAAATTCCCTTATTCCGAATAGGATTCCTCGCAAGAAAAGGGAAAAGTTGACAGCTATGCCCAGAAGTAGTAACTCAGGTTATGAACTTTGCCCCAGGATGAGAACAGAAATCGTACGCCAGCAGCGCACCGGCGGCGGGAGGCCCCGTTAGTGAAAGTGCGCCTCAGGTTAAGAATGGTTTTGGGTTAAGAACGGACCTCCGGAATGAATTAAATTCGTAACCCAAGGTACCACTGTAGTTGTTTATTTCCTTGACATCTGATGGGAGGACGTTCCACAGGGCGGGCGCCACTACCAAGAAGGCCCTCTACCTGGTTCCCTGGAACCTCACTTCTTGCAGTGAGGGAACTGCCAGAAGGCCCTCGGAGCTGGACCTTTTGGATTTTTAAAATGAAAAGCAGCCTGGAAATGGAATGAATGAATGAATGAATGAATGAATGAAGGCCAGGGTTGTGCAACTGGGATCTCTTGCAACCCCAGCAGCGAAGATGAAAGGAAAGCAAGATAACTCACAGCATGCAGAACAGAGCAGTCCTCCCCAGCCTGGTGCCTTTCACTCACACAAACACATGCCAGCCGACATCTATGAAAAAATTGAAAATGTTATGGTAGATCTATTACTTGTATACAGTGGTGCCCCGCAAGACGAATGCCTCGCAAGACGAAAAACTCGCTAGACGAAAGGGTTTTGCGTTTTTTGAGTCGTTCCGCAAGACGAATTTCCCTATGGGCTTGCTTCGCAAGACGAAACGTCTTGCGAGTTCTTGCGAGTTTGTTTCCTTTTTCTTAAAGCCGCTAAGCCATTAATAGCCGCTAAGCCGCTAAGCTGCTAAGCCGTTAATAGCCGCCAAGCCACTAATAGCCGCTAAGCCGCTAATAGCCGTGCTTCGCAAGACGAAAAAACCGCAAGACGAAGAGACTCGCGGAACGGATTAATTTCGTCTTGCGAGACACCACTGTACATTGCTTTTGGGCATATATACATTTTCTCAGCTGAAACACAGCCAGCTCAGTATTGCCTGTTGAAAGGATCTCAGACAGAAGGGCCCAGGAATTTGCTGTTGTTGTTTAGTTGTGTCCGACTCTTCGTGACCCCATGGACCAGAGCACGCCAGGCACTCCTGTCTTCCACTGCCTCCCGCAGCTTGGTCAAACTCATGCTGGTAGCTTTGAGAACACTGTCCAACCATCTCATCCTCTGTCGTCCCCTTCTCCTTGTGTCCTCAATCTTTCCCAACATCAGGGTCTTTTCCAGGGAGTCTTCTATTCTCATGAGGTGGCCAAAGTATTGGAGCCTCGGCTTCAGGATCTGTCCTTCCAGTGAGCACTCAGGGCTGATTTCCTTCAGAATGGATAGGTTTGATCTTCTTGCAGTCCATGGGACTCTCAAGAGTATCTTCCAACACCTTCATGGATCACTGCCTTGCCGTGGCGAAGGGGCTTGAATTACTCAGAGAAGCTATGAGCTATGCCATGCAGGACCACCCAAGATGAACAGGTCATAGTGGCAAGTTTTGACCAAACGTGACCCACCTGGAGCAAGAACCGGAAAGCCACTCTAGTATCCCTGCCAAGAAAACTCCATGGACAAAGACAACAGGCCCAGGAATACCATGTTGTAAATTAAAAAAGACATTTTCTTTGGGGGGACGACGACATTTATCTAAAAATGTAAACTGGCTTGCTTAAGCCCTGCAGTTCTCTTCATTGCTGTCAATGGTCGTCTTCAGAACATCTCTCCAGCTTCAGACATACCTGGAAGGGTAAAAACCCCCAGGACAATTAGTGGGATAACTACCATCTGGCAGCATCACCCAGACACCTCATTTGGCTTCTTCCTGGTGACTTCATCTGCTAACTTCATCCATTCATGAATATTCACCAGTTTCCTTTCTCACACACCCTGTTTTGTCTTTCACATATCACATCAGCAAACACCAGTCACCTCAAAGCCTCCCATGCCCTCACACATACAACATTAAAAAAAACTTCCCTATACAGGGCTGCCTTCAGATGTCTTCTAAAGGTTGTATAGTTACTTCTCTCCATGTCTCGGGGGTCAAATAACCTCCATACGCTCCAACATTTCCCCAGTGAAAATGGGGACATCCTAGGGAAAAGTGGGATCAAATCAGAAACCGTGATGGCTTCTGTAAATCTGGGATCATACTTGGAAAACAGGGACACTAGGAGGGTCTGTAGCTTCAATCCACAAATATAGCCACCGGCTTCTGTTGACTGGCTTCTGAACTTCAGCCAGCTGAGATCCACAAACATCAGTTTGCTTCTGCAGCATTCACTGGCTTCCAAATGCAAACGCCACCAGCTTCCACCCACCAACTCCTGCCTGCTTCCATGAGGTCCATCGCTAGGCACCAGCCAGCTTCTGACGATGGTTATCAGTAGCCTTCAAGCCACAATCTCCCACTCAGCAAGCGAACTTGCCCTGTTATCACACCGCAGCATCCCATTGCCGGATGATCACCTCCTTCCATTCACAGGTTCACCTCTTCCAAGTGGAAGGAAATTGGGCACAGCTGATGGTCACAGTCGTTGCCAGCTTTGTCCTGCTGGGGAGGGAGAAAAATGTCTTTCTCCTTGGCCTGCCTTTTTATCAACTCAGCTGCCAAGTGCAATGGCAGCAGCTGGGCCTTCATCTCTTTGGGCCTCGCAGTTATGGGAGCATCTCAGTAGCAATTTAACTGTCTGCTTGTTTATTATGGAAAGAAATTACAGCCCACTCTTCATCTACCCTGATAACGGGCCGGGGGACATCATAAAACTGGGGCAGGGCATGCTTTCCAGCACAAGGGCCACATTCCTTTGCAGGGAACTTTCCAGGGGCCATATGCAATGACACACAGAGTGGGTGTCATTCCAGCTTTGCAGAAGCCAGAGGTTTCCATGCTCCCTATAATCTCTCAATCCAGTTAAGCAAGAAGCATCATCACAGTGGAAGGAAACTTTCCAAGCAGGCATCAACATACCCAAGGAAGAATCTATGCTTCCTGCCTCGTGACATCTCAACCCACATGTCAGACCCATCCATTGGCATCCTGGCTTTTCCCAGGTTTATCTTGTCATAGTTCCCATCAGAAACTCTGTCTGAATCTGAAACTATGTTTGCCGAGCATATCGCTCTGTGACTTTGGAACCCACATGTCCGATCCAATCATTAGCATCTTGGCTTTTTCCAGGTTTGCCTTGTCACTGTCATCATCACCAATAGGTGCCTTTGCCAAATACCCATATTGCCTCCCCCTTTTGCTTTGTCCTGAGCACTGGTACACCTGACCATCTTCGTGTCAGACATCAGCAATCTGGAAGACCCAGGCACACATCCTGCATGAAAAGAATGGTTATCAGACATAACGTCACACGTCCCTCGAACCTTCCCACCATTCCCTATGTTAACATCACAACATAGTAAGAAGAAGAAGAAGCCATTTATAATGTCGCTTTCGTTCTTCTGGATGGTTTCACTCTGTTTACAGCCCGAAACAGAACAGCCACACTGCATCAGCTGGGCTTCTCGACCTGGAATGAAAAACACGTTAGACATCACAACGTTCATAGCCGTCAACTGTCCCTTATTTGGTGGGAAAGTCCCTTATCCCAGCGCTGTGTCCTGCTGCTGTCCCTTATTGATGATGTCCCTTAAATTTCCTGGGTTTCAAAGGAAGCAGCTCCTCTCCCTCCCTCCCTGCCAGAGGAGGGAGGCTCCAACTGTGTTTCTTGGCTGCGTTGCTCACCCAATAAGGAGTCTAAGAACGACGGGGGGTGGAGCTTGCATGCCTTGTGCCGATCAAATCGGCTCCGTTGCCTGGGAACTCGCCTTTGCTCAGCGCTTCCCAGCGGAGAGGTGACGGTGGTTTTCCTTGCTGCATCCCCTTTGCCGGGTTGCTGCGCTGTGGGAACCACCGCTTGAGGCTTTGTTTGGCTGCTAGCTGGGCTTTCTGCCTTTGGCTCGGAGGGGCCCAGAAGTTGAACATACCTGTGCTCTGAAAATCCCTTATTTTGGCTGCTGGTCCCTTATTTTCAAATCTGTAAGTTGACAGCTACGCACAACGTTACAGCTTCTCAGTTCCACGGTCCTGGTGCTGCTATGCACCTCCAAGTAAGAAAGGCTGGTGAGGGACACGGCGTGAGGAGCAACCTGAGGAGAAGACAGAATGGCCTCTGTCTCACAGGCTAAAGTTTCCTACCGCTGCCATAAAATAAATGATAACTCTACCTTGTTCTGGTCGCTGAGAGTTGCTGGGAGATGCCTTTTCCCCTCGCAGAGCTACATTTTCCAGATTTCCTCGGGAAGAGGGATCGATTGAAAAACCAGTCAGGGAACTGTAGCTCTGTGAGGGGAACAGGGATCTCCTAACAACTCTCAGTGCCCTTAATAAACTAGAGTTCCCAGGAAGCCGTGACTGTTTAAAGTGGACTCTCCTTCCTTGGAGGTTTTTCAGCAGAGGTTGGGTGGCCACCTCTCATGGATGCTTTAGTTGAGATTCCTGCATCACAGGGGGTTGGACTAGATGATCCTTAGGGTCCCTTCCAACTCTACAGTTCTATGATTCTATGAAATTTGGTTGTATTTACAGGGATCCTGTCAGCTGCAGGAGGGCAAAAACATCCAGAGAAAATGCACCAAGTGCCATCTAGTGGGGATACAAAGGCATACAAGGATGAAGCAAAGAAATGGAAAAGTTGGTGCTTTCATTTTGCAGGGGTAGCCTTCTCGACATTGTGGACTATGTTCTGCAGTGTTCCTGGCACTGGGCAATGGGGACACATTAAGTATTCTGCTGGTTTACCACCGGTCTTGCTGCCCAGCAGTCTCCCTGGCTCAGCTGACAGAGCTGGTCTCAGAGGAGATATGGATGACTCCCAGACTGCTGGTTTTGGGGAGACTTCAACATCTATGCCAAGATGACTGGCTTTGGGGTAGCTCAGGACTTCATGGCTACCATGACAACCATGGGGCTGTCTCAACACATCATCGACCACACTCTAGACCTTGCTTTCTCTCTCTCTTTTTTGTATAATTTTAGTAAGTTTTCCTATTTTACATTTTAGAATATTCATTTAAACAACCTTCAGTCAATGACTTCCCTTCTTCTCTTTCCGTGGATCAGTTTACATACCATAAATCCCTGCATATTTTACATAAGCTAAACCATTCAGTATTCCATTATTACATCCATCAAAACTTATCTACACTGGTTTTTTGGTTTTTTGTGCACTGTTCCTGGAGGTACTGCAATCCCAGGTCGATGCATGGAGTGGATGGAGCAAGCCCCTATTCCATCTCCCAGCTCTAAAAATCCATTTAATATATAGTCCTCAAACAGAGGACATATCAGATATTAAACTGATAAGAACAGATACTACACTTGATCTTAGCCAAAACTTATCTACACTGTTGAATTGATCTTAATGCTGCCAGCATTTTTAAATGTACACATGTCCACCCATATATTCAATAAATGTTTTCCAATCTTCTTTAAACGTATGTTCTTCATGTTCTCTTATTTTATATGTTAAATCAGCAAGCTGCATATATTCCATCAATTTAAGTTGCCATTCTTCTTTGGTTGGGACCTCGCTTGTTTTCCATTTTTGGGCTAACAAAACACGGGCTGCAGTAGTGGCATACATAAATAACCTTTTTTGACACTTGGGAATTTCCATCTGAATTATCCCCAACAAAATGGACTCTGGTTTTTGTTTTTTTTTGGAAAAGTACTTTTAAACATTTTTTTTCAATTCATTATAAATTATTTCCCAAGACATCCTGGACCTTGCATTCTCAGCTGAGCAGGAAGAGGATGATCTGAAATTGACATCAGTCCCTTGTCATGGTCAGATCACTTCCTGTTGAGCCAGTTATTGAATAATGGACTGTCTGTTAGACCCACTGTTCAAGAAATGCTGGGTAGACAACCAAATGTATATAGCATGTTCCTGGGTCAAGGGCAAATACCTGAAGAGGGAACTTCCTCTTGGAGTGTGTGGGAGGAGGAACCAAATGTGGTTTCCGTAGGCTGAGGACCGCACCATACTATGCCCAGTTCTGGGTGTCACAAGACAAGAAGGATATTGACAAATTGGACTGTGTTCAGAGGAGGGCAACCAAGATGAACAAGGGTCTGGAAGCAACATTTGAAAACGTTTGTAGGTTTGAGTTGAAATATTTTGTAATGTTAATACTGGGAGCTGGTTTACATGTAATGAGGTGAATTTTATTAAGTAAGAAAGAAGGTAAATAAGTGGTTATAGAAATGCTAAGATGTAAGGGATTATTTATGAAAGCCAGAGAGTGGGATGGGGGGAAGTCAGTTTGAGCATTGTTTTTTGGCTATGAGATTATGGAATGGAATGTGATTATGGTAAAATGTAAACTCAATAAAGTTTACATTTACATTGAGTAAATGTAACTCAATAAATGTAAACTCAATAAAGAGACGCAGGTGGCACTGTGGGTTAAACCACAGAGCCTAGGGCTTGCCGATCAGAAGGTCGGCGGTTCAAATCCCCGCAACGGGGTGAGCTCCTGTTGCTCAGTCCCAGCTCCTGCCAACCTAGCAGTTCGAAAGCACCTCAAAGTGCAAGTAGATAAATAGGTACCGCTCCGGCGGGAAGGTAAACGGCATTTCTGTGCGCTGCTCTGGTTTGCCAGAAGCGGCTTAGTCATGCTGGCCACATGACCCGGAAGCTGTACGCCGGCTCCCTCGGCCAATAAAGCGAGATGAGCGCCGCAACCCTAGAGTCGGTCACAACTCGACCTAATGGTCAGGGGTCCCTTTACCTTTAAACTCAATAAAAATTATTATTAAAAAAAAGAGCAAGGGTCTGGAAGCCAAGCCTTATGAGACGCTTCGTATGTTTAGCCTGGTAAAGAGGAGACTGAGAGGAGATATTATAGGCATCTTCAGATATCTCAAGGGCTGTCATATGGAAGAGAGATCAAGCTTGTTATCTCCTGCTCTGGACAGTAGGACTTGAACTCATGGCTTCAAGTTACAAGAAAGGAGATTCTGACTAAACATCAGGAAGAACTTTCTGACAGGAAGAACTGTTCGACTGTAGAATGGTCTCCCTCAGGAGGTGGTGGACTCTCCTTCCTTGGAGGTTTTCAAGCAGAGGTTGGATGGCCATCTGTCGTGGATGCTTTAGCTGAGATTTCTGCATCGCAGGGGGTTGGACTAGATGGCCCTCGGAGTCCCTTCCAACTCTGCAGTTTTATGATTCTACCCTTCTATGAGTAAGCAGGGATCCCTGGCTACTGGACTTAAATAAAGCCAAAGTGCCTGGAACCTGTTTCAAAGACAGACGGCCCTGCTGAGCAACGGCACAGATAATGAGCCAGATGGATCAATCTTCTGACTCAGTATAAGGAATTTCCTGTCTTGCTGCGCAATGGGGCCTCAGATCCTGCTCTCAACTTTATGCTGCTATAGAAACCTAGAAAACTGCCGTATGCCAAGGGCACTGCACAGACTCCTGCCTCCTAAATACAGCACATCGGACCATTTCCAAACATTTTGCTTAGCGTTGCCCAGCCATGCTGCAGTGTGAGCACATATGAAACCGAAAGCATGGAAAAAAGAGTGGCTGACTTCATGAACAGCAGTGAAAGATATTCCCTCGTGGTGCAAATAAAAGGTCAGCCATGACAGCACTTGTCTTATTTACTTAAAAAAAGAACAAGACCCCAAGGTTATGTCGTGGTTCGAGTAGAAGAAAAACTGATGTTTCTGCAGTTGCCTTTCATGGGGTTCTCACAAACATCTGCAGCTCTTTAAAGAGATGATTATAAGGACGATGCCCTTTAACTCTCCGTAGGACTTTCCCCAAATTAGCAAAGGGTAACATCTGTGCTTTCCAGAGCTGGCTGGTTTCAGTTTTGGTTCTCGGAAGGGAGGCCATACAGCGGTACCTCGGGTTAAGAACTTAATTTGACCTGGAGGTCTGTTCTTAACCTGAAACTGTTCTTAACTTGAGGTACCACTTTAGCTAATGGGGCCTCCTGCTGCTGCTGTGCCACCATCGTGTGATTTCTGTTCTGATCCTGAAGCAAAGTTTTTAACCTGAGGTACTATTTCTGGGTTAGTGGAGTCTGTAACCTTTTAGCGTATGTAACCCGAGGTACCACTGTATATGCAAAGCGAGCGAACAGTTTGGTGGGCTCAAAGAGAATTTCACCGTGCTCCAGGGACAGGAACTATGTCAATTCATACGTGCAAAACCCCATTGTATACAGACGTCTGGCCCCCAGGTGCTGTCTGAGGTGACGACCAAGATGACATTCTTCTTCCCACCCCCAGTACAATTTATTCTTTGTAAAATACATTTTCTAACAAATACAGTGGTACCTCAGGTTAAGTACTTAATTTGTTCCAGAGGTCCGTTCTTAACCTGAAACTGCTCTTAACCTGAAGCACCACTTTAGCTAATGGGGCCTCCTGCTGTCGCCGCGCTGCCGGAGCCCGATTTCTGTTCTTATCCTGAAGCAAACTTCTTAACCCGAGGCAATATTTCTGGGTTAGTGGAGTCTGTAACCTGAAGCGTATGTAACCT